AGCCTGCCACTGAATTCATTCCAGAGACAGCAATTGCTCCTGTTATTAGAGAACCCACTTTGAGAATGAGTTGCCCATGGGCTACATCTGAGCAGGGGGTCTAGGCAATCTCCATGCATGGCCCTTAGTTGGAGTATCTGTCCTGCAGAAACCCTGGCCCCAGATTATTTTTTGGCTCTGTTGGTCTCCTTGTAGAGCTCCTGTCCCCTCCGGGTCTTTCCATATCCTCCTTTCATAAAATTTCATGCATTCTGCCCAAAGTTTGGCTGTGAGTCTTGGCATCTGCTTTGATACCTCGATCAGTAGAGTCTTTCAGAGGCCCTCTGTGGTAGGCTCCTTTCCTGTTCCCTGTGTTCTCCTGCTTCCGATGTCTGTCGCATTTGCCCTTCTGAATGAGGTTTCAGCCTCTTTCCTAGGGTCTTCCTTCTTGTTCAGCTTCTTTAGTATAGATTTTAGTGTGTTTATACTATATTAGATATCTAATAACCACGTATGAGTTAGTATATACCATGTGTGTCTTTCTGCTTCTGGGTTACCTCACTCTAGATGATCTTTTCTAGTGCCCACCAGTTGCCTGCAAATTTCATGATTTCCTTGTTTTTAATTGCTGAGTAATATTCCATTGTGTAAATGTACCACAATTTCTGTATCCATTCCTCTGTTGAGAGATATCTAGGTTGTTTCCAGATTCTGGCTGTTATGAAGAGAGCTTCTGTAAACATGGTTGTTGCATAGTTGAGTGTATTTTGGATATATTCCTGGCAAAGTGGTATAGTTGAGTCTTGAGGTAGTATTATTCCTAATTTTCTGAGAAAGCACCAGATTGATTTCCAAAGTGATTGCTCAAGTTTACATTCCCACCAGCAATGGAGGAGGGTTCTCCTTTCTCCAAGTCCCCTCCAGCATGTGTTGTCACTTGAGGTTTTTTTATCTTAGCCATTCTGATGGGTGTAAGTGAAATCTCAGGGTTGTTTTGATGTGCATTTTCCTGATGACTAAGGGCATTGAGCCTTTTTTTTTTTTTTTTTAAGTGTTTCTCTGCCATTCGATACTCCTCTGTTGCAAATTCTCTGTTTAGCTCTGTACCCAATTTTTTAATCAGATTACTTAGTTTGTTGGTGTTTAACTTCTTAAGTTCTTTATATATCCTGGATATTAGCCCTCTGTCAGAAAGAGGGTTGGTGAAGATCCTTTCCCAATCTGTAGGCTGTCATTTTGTTCTGATGACAGTGTCCTTTGCTTTACAGAAGCTTTTAAGTTTCATAAGGTCTCATTTATTGGTTGTTGATCTTAGAGTTAGTGTTCTCTTCAGAAAGTTGTCTCCTGTGCCAGTGAGGTCAAGGCTTTTTCTCACTTTTTCTTCTAACAGGTTTAGTGTGTCTGGTTTTATGTTGAGGTCTTTGATCCACTTAGACTTTAGTTTTGTGTAGGGTGATAAATATGGATCTATTTGCATTTTTCCACATATAGATATCCAGTTAGACCAGCACCCTTTGTTGAAGATGCTATTTTTTCCCCATTGTATTGTTTTGGCTTCTTTGTCAAAAATCAAGTAGCCATAGGTGTGTGGGTTTATTTCTGAGTCTTCCAGTCAATTCCATTGATCCACCAGGCTGTTTCTATGCCAGTACGATGCAGTTTTTAATTACTCTTGTTCTGTATAGTAGAGCTTGAGATCAGGGAATGAAGATACCTCCAGAAGATCTGTTACTGTACAGGATTGTTTTAGCAATTCTAGGTTTTTTGTTTTTTCATATGAAATTGAGAATTTATCTTTCAAGTTCTGTAAGGAATTGTGTTGATATTTTGATGAGAATAGCATTGAATCTGTAGATTGCTTTTGGTAGGATGGCCGTTTTTACTGTGTTAAACCTACCGATCCGTGAGCATGTGAGATCTTCCCATCTCCTTTTTAAAAAAATTGAATTAATTAATTAATTCATTCATTCATTTTTTATTAATTTTTATTTTTTTTAATTAATCACAGGTTATTTACTTTATATCCCAACTGTAGCCCGCTTCCTCATCGCCTCCCAAACCCCCCCTCCCTCCCTCATCTCCTCCCTGCCCTTTCCAAGTCCACTGATATGGGAGGTCCTCCTCCCCTTCCCTCTGACCCTAACTTATCAGGTATTTTCAGGACTGGCTGCTATGTCCTCCTCTGTGGCCTAGCAAGACTGTTCTGCCCTCTTTCCATCTTCTTATATCTTCTTCAGTTTCTTTCTTCGGAGACTTGAAGTTTTTTCATACAGGTCTTTTACTTGCTTAGTTAGAGTCACACACCAAGGTACTTTATGTCATTGGTGGCTATTGTGAAATGTGTTGTTTCTCTAATTTCTTTCTCAGTCCTTTTGTCTTTTGTATACAGGAGTGCTACTGATTTTTTTGAGTTAATTTTGTATCCAGCCACTTTGCTGAAGGTGTTTATCAGCTGGAGGAGTTCTCTGGTAGAATTTTTGGGATCATTCATGCATACTATCATATCATCTGCAAATAGTGATATTTTTGACTTCTTCCTTTCCAATTTGTATCTTCTTGATATCCTTTAGTTGTCTTATTGCTTTAGCTAGGACTTCAAGAACTATGTTGAGGAGATATGGAGAGAGTGTACACCCTTGCCTTGTCCCTGATTTCAGTGGGATTGATTTAAGTTTCTCTCCTTTTAGTTTGATGTTGGCTATGGGCTTGCTGTATTTTGTCTTTACTATGTTTAGCTATGTGCCTTGTATCCCTGATCTCTCTAGGACTTTAAAGATGAATGAGTATTGGATTTTGTCAAATGCCAAAATATTCGCATTTTATCAAATATCAAATGGGTTCTGGAATCTTGAAATTACAAAGTATTTTTGAATGGAAGCATCATATTGAATGACAAACGGCTTACGCTGTGTTTTTGTGGAAGTGTGCAACAGAGTCTGAGGGCACAACTCCGTGGTAGAGGGCTTATCTAGTGTGCAAACCACAAGGTGTGACCCAGGGTCTGATGTCCCCTTAAAGAAAAAAAAAATGAAGATATAAAAAATTTATTCAGGAGACATGAAAAAATGAATCTTTATAGAAACAAAGTTAGTAAAAAAATAATAAACCTATTGTAAAAGCATAAACATCTAGTTGGACTGATTAGGAATTTCAAGAAGACAACAACCTAAACATCCAGTATCACCAGTGGAGGAAGATGTTCTTTTCCACATAAGTGAGCCAAATTGATGGTTGCTTCTTACACTTTTGCTTGTACAGTGATGAGAAGGAAGAACAGGATCAGAAGGAAAAATTGGTGTTGATTGAAGACTGTGAACTGATTACAGTAATTGACATAATTCCTGGCAGATTAGAAGTCACTACTCAACACATTTACTTCCATGATAACAGTATTGAAAAAGAAGATGGTGAGTAGTTCTGGGACAATAATTGCTGTTCAGTTATTAAGTATCCAGTCCCATCAGTCATGGATTAGAGGAAGAAACCAGCAAGATGGCACTGTGAAATTATAGTTTATCTTGTAAAATGAAAAATAGAGAGTCAGTAAGGAATTAGGTTCATTCAACTATTGGGGATTGAAGGGGAATGATAGTTTTGTATGTGTATGCCCAGGAGTAGTGATGGAAATCAGGGCCATTATTATGCAAGGCAAATGTTACCCAGCCTGGCCTTGTACTTAAAATCCTCGTTCCTCAGCCTTCCTACTAGCTAGAATTATAGGTATGCACCCTCACATCTAGTTACTTTTTATCATCCTCTTCATTATTTGTGTATTTTAAAAGGTCTGGCTTGAGAGTAACACAGTAAACTAACATTTATAAAATGCAGTCTTTATTTTAGCATACTTTTGTGTGTGTGTGTGTGTGTGTGTGTGTGTGTGTATGCCATTCCACAGAGCTTACTTTTTTACGATTAAATCTGAAGATCTAACATGTTATGAAAAGAATGAGAGAAGGTAAAATATTCAGAATTATTATCCATTCATATAGAAAGATAGTAGATAGCTTTGAGGTTCTAGACTAGAAAAAAAATTTATAACGAATAAATATCTGTTTTTTAATAATGTAGAATTCCTTTTCCCTAAGTACCACTGTAGGAAACAAGGAGATATTTTCTGCATACAGTGAATAACTTTATGTGGTGCCTCAATCATAAGATTTATTTTGTTTTCAGGAATGGGTTTTGATTTCAAGTGGCCTCATTCTCAAATTCGAGAGATTCACCTACGTCGATACAATTTGAGGAGATCAGCACTTGAGATTTTTCATGTTGATCAATCCAACCACTTTCTGAATTTCAAAAAAGAGGTGTGTTACCTTTCTGACAATCACAGAGTATTATTTTGAAATAGTTTTCCAGCTAGTGAGCTCTAATAGTGTTTTGGACTCTATTCCTGTCAATACAGAGTATTAAAGAAGAAACTGTATTGTGAGGCTAGTCAGTATATGAACTTTTATTGGAATTAATTTCGGGATTGAGGTGCTTATTTTCAGTGAGTGTGTATGTACAGTAGAACATTAAATATCAACCAGTAAATGCCAGACACTTCTAATTGTGTTACAGCATGCAGTATGTAAGATGAGCCATGCTGTGCATGGTGTGCCTGGGCTTCCTTCCCTCTTCTTATGAGGGCAGTGATGTTAGTCTGATGTTTTGGCCTCATGACACCATTTTTTAAAAATGTATTATGTGCAGAAGGTGTAGTGTGCCTACAAGTTGTAAGAGTCATTCATTCCACAATGTGGTTCCTAAGGATCAGTGTCAGGTGATCAGATTTGGTCATAAGCACCTTCATCTGCCATGGTATTGTCTCCCTGACCTCATTTAATACTGATTTTCTCCAAATGCCCATCTTTAATTATGAACTTGTTGTTTGATATCAAGTTTCTAATCATGAACTTTGAAAAAACATATTCACAAACTGTAACACCAGGTATAGTAAAGAAATTAAAAGCACAATCCACTGTTGATATGAAATGTTCAGAAGAGGTGAAGTTTTGAAATATGGTGGATTCTAGATTTCAAGAAAATAGGAGGAGGCAGAATTGGGGATAACTGCTAACAAGTTTGTGACGTGGTAAAGATTTTCTAAAGTATAATAATAATGTTAATGGCACAACTGTGAAAAGAGTAAGAAATCAATTATTCTTAAAGGGTTAATTATATCTTGCTAAAACTACTGCAAAAGCTATAATCCATATTTGTCTTGACCAGTTTTTAAACTAAACAATAGTATTTTTTATAGGTTAGAAACAAAGTATATAGCAGACTATTGTCACTTCATACTCCTAATAGTTACGGAACAAGATCACCACAAGAATTATTCAAAGCATCAGGATTGACACAGGTAGGAAATTTTATAGATTGCTGTATTGTTCATTTTATAGCTCAGAATTTTTGTGTATCCTAATTGTTCTTTTTCTATTTATTGTCTGTCTGTCTGTCTGTCTGTCTGTCTGTCTACCTAACTGGTTAGTTGGTTAGTTAGTTAGTTTGTTTGTTTTAGTTTTGTTGACCCAGGGTACTTGATCTAGCCCTGGCTGTTCTGGAACTTGCTATGCAGACCATTCTGGCCTCAGATTCCCAGAGATCCATCTACTTCTGCCTTCTGAGTACTGGGATTAAAGGTGTGATCCATCATTCCTAGCCTTTTCTGCTCTTTCATTTAGAATAATCTTTTAAATTATTTTAGTACATGAATGTGATAAGAACTGGATACAAGACTCCATATATGCCCGGCTCTTCTGTGAGGTCCTCCAGTCAAGAATTCTTTTGTGCTGTCTGAAATAAGCCTTCTTTAATAAAGTACATTCCCTTTTGGTTTTGAATAAAATTTATTCATTCACTACCGATTTCTCAACTTTACACCTAAAGAACAACCGAGCTTCCTATATAGAGAAGTACGGCTCATTATATAGATTTCACTTTATAGACTGCAGCATACAAATTCAGTTTCTTTTTCTGTTCCCCATAATTGTGTGCCTTTGCTTTTGGTGGACAGTGAGTTAAAGTTCACTGTTACTCTGTCAGGGAGACTAATGTATATCCCCACTCTGTACAGTCACTAGAGGACTAAAGGTGGTGAGATGGTCAGTAGAAAGAAATGAGTTTCCCTCTCTAATACTACCTCATTTTGCTCTCTAAAAGAGGCTTTCTTTCAGATAGTTAATCAGGCTAAAATCCTGTAACCTTAGTTTTGCTCATAGAATGCTTTAGCATGTTAAGGTACTACATACATACTTTTAATATGATGGTATAAAAATGTCAAAAGTGGGGCAGTCCTTTTAGAAATTAAAATTTTAAGATAAAATACTTCAGTTGAAAAAGTCTTAATTTTCTTTTTTCCTCTTGTATTACATAGAACTAAACCCAGAGTGTTGTACTACAAGTGCTCTACACCAACCTATAGCACTAGGGTTACTTTTTAATTGTTGGGAAATTGGCCAGGATCTCCTCCAACTTGCCATCCTCCTGCCATCTCATCCTGAGTAGTTAGAATTACATGTGTGCATTACCATCCCAGGCAAGACTTAATTCTTATTTTAAAATTTTCAGAGTACAGTGTAGTGCTTACGTTTAATTTTTTGATCTTTTTCTTAGACAGATTTTTTCATTTATTTATTTCTTTATTAATTTTTTTAATGTATATGAGTGCTCCTCTGCATATATACCTGCATGCCAGAGGAGGTATCAGATCTCAGTAAAGATGGTTGTGAGCCACCATATGGGTACTGGGAATTGAACTCAGGACTTCTGGTAGAGCAGACAGTGCTCTTTTATTAAAAAATTAAATTTTTATTTTTTTATGTTAATTACAGTTTATTTCCTTTTTATCCCAACTGTAGCCCCCTTCCTCATTCCCTCCCAATCCTACCCTCCCTCCCTCATCTCCTTCCTGCCCCTAAGTCCACTGATAGAGGAGGTCCTCCTCCCCTTCCATCCGACCCTGGCTTATCGGGTTTCATCAGGACTGGCTGCAATGTACTCCTCTGTGGCCTAGCAAGGCTGCTCCTCCCTCGGGGGGTTGGGGAGGTCAAAGAACCAGCCACTGAGTTCAGGTCAGAGACAGTTCCTGTTCCCCTTACTAGGGAAACCCACTTGGATGCTGAGCTGCCATGGGCTATGTCTGAGCAGGGGTTCTAGGTTATATCCATGCATGGTCCTTGGTTGGAGAAACAGTCTCAGAGAAGACCCCTGTGCCCAGATATATTTGGTCCTTGTGGAGTTCCTGTCCTCTCCAGGTCTTACTAACTCCCTCTTCTTTCATATGATTCCCTGCGCTCTGCTCAAGGTTTGGTTATCAGCATCTACTTTGATACACTGCTAGGTAGAGTCTTTCAGAGGCCTTCTACGGTAGGCTCCTGTCTTGTTTCTTGTTTTCTCCTACTTTCAGTGTCCATCCCATTTGTCTTTCTAAGTGAGGATTGATCATCTTACCCTGGGTCCTTCTTCTTGTTTAGCTTCTTTAGGTGTACAGATTTTAGTATGTTTCTCCTATCTTTTAGGACTAGTATCCACTTATAAGTGAGTATCTTTCTGTGTGTGTCTTTCTGCTTCTGGGATACCTCACTCAGGATGGTCTTTTCTAGTTTCCACCATTTGCCTGCAAATTTCCTGATTTCCTTGTTTTTAATTGCTGAGTAGTATTCCATTGTGTAAATGTACCACAATTTCTGTATCCATTCCTCTGTTGAGGGACATCTGGGTTGTTTCCAGGTTCTGGCTATTACAAATAAAGCTGCTGCAAACATGGTTGAACAAATGTCCTTGTTGTGTATTTGAGCATATTTTGGATATATGCCTAGGAGTGATATAGCTGGGTCTTGAGGAAGCGCTATTCCTAGTCAGACAGTGCTCTTAACCGCCGAGCCAAGCCATCTCTTCAGCCCCTTAGATGAATTTTTTAAAGGAAATAGAATGTAAAGAAGTTAACTTATTTCCATGTGAAACTTTTTAAGTGCCATCTCTTTAATCATGAAGAAATAGAGATATTGATTACCATAAATGACGTTTATTATTAATAATTGTCACATTTTAAGAGATTACATGATAGAGTTCTAATATTGTCCTTTTTATGCTATCTAGAAATGGGTGAATCGAGAAATAACAAACTTTGACTACCTCATTCAGATAAATACAATGGCGGGACGGACCTATAATGACCTTGCACAGTACCCTGTGGTGAGTTTTGTATGAATCTCAAAAAGAAAATTAACTTACACTTTTTATAATGTTTATATTATGGATGATGTATATGTTTTTATTTAGACAAAATGGAAATGCTTGGGTATAGCTCAGTGATAGAATATTCTTGTACTATATGTAAGGTCTGGATTCAATCTCTAGCACTAGAAAAGAAACAGTACACATACTCTGTCTTTCTCTTTCTCTCTCTAATCACTTTACAGCCTGATTCCAGCCCCTTTCTGTCTTTCTTCCCAGTCCCACCTTCATGTCTCCCTTTCCTTCTTTCCCTCTCTCCTTCTCAGAGAAAAGGAGGCCCCGAAGAGGTACCCAGCTCACCCTGGCCCCTCAATTCGGAGCAAGACTGAGCTTATCCTCTCCCACTGGGCCAGACAAGCCACCTAGCCCAGCATAAGGGTCCCCCTGGGCCAGACAAGGCCACCTATCCTAGCATAAGGGTCCCACTGGGCCAGACATGGCCACCCAGCATAAGGAAAAGGAACCCAAAGGCAGGTAGTAGAGGCAGAGAGAGGCCCTACTCCCATTGTGAGGGGACGTATGTGTTGACCACACTGCACACATGCTATATAGGGGCCTAAGTCCACCCCATGCATGTTCTTTGGTTGGTGGTTCATTCTCTGTGAGCTCCCATGGGCCCAGGTTAGTTGACTCTGTAGTTCTTCTTGTGGTGTCCTTGATCCTCGAGCTCCCTCAATCATTCCTCCCACTCTTCCACAGAACTCCCCAACCTTGGCCTATTGTTTGGCTATGGGTCTCTGCATCTGTTTCCATCAGCTGCTGGATGAAGCCTCTCAGAAAACAGTTATGCTAAGCTCCTGTCTGCAAGCATAGCAGAGTATCATTAATAGTGTCAATCATTGGTTTGCCATTCCCTCAGTCTTTGCACATGTACTCTGTCTTTAAGTTTTCCACTTTCATATTTTTAAGGAAGTATTAAAACATGAAGGCTAGTAATTAAAAGTACAGTCCTTTTTCTTTCATTAAAAATAGCCCAGAATTATAGAAAATTAAACTATTGAACTGAAGATAAACAAATATTAAAATGTCTCTAAGGTATCTACAATAGGGAAAACTATTTTTAGTGATAATCCCTTTGTATCTTTATGAACATTTCATATTTGATGTGGGGATGTTCAGTTCTATAGGAATAAACGTCTAAATTTTGAATTATGTCTCTTTTAGTTTCCCTGGATTTTGCAGGATTATACATCAGAAGAGTTGGACCTAAATAACCCTACTGTATTTCGAGATCTTTCTAAACCAATTGGAGTAGTTAATGAAAAAAATGCCAAAGCTATGCGAGAAAAGTAAGTGATTTATACATATTTTGAGATAATCATTGTTTGAATTTATACTAATTCCAATCAAAACAACTAATTGTTATCTTTTGTAAATTAAAAATAATATTTTAAATTATTATTTTATCAATATGGTTGTCTTTTTCCAGCACATATATGTATACAATACACATGAACTTGTAGAGGTCAGAAGAGGGTGTTGGATCTAGAAATTGGGTTACAGGTGCCCGCGAGCTGCTCTTTTGGTACTGGGAATTGAATCTAGGTCCTCTGTAGATCAGCAAGTGCTCTAAACTGTTAAGCTATATCTCCAGCCTCTAAATGTTTGGGAAAAAATAATTTGTAATGTGTATGGTTGTTTTGTCTGCATGTATGTCTGTATACCTGCATGCAAGTATACAGGTATACTTGCAGAGGTCAGAAAAAGACATCAGATTTAGTAGAACTGTGGTCACCTAGGGCTGTGAGCCACCACATGGGTGCTAGAGCCCAAACCCAGGTCCTCTGTAAGAACATCCTGTGCTTTTAACCTCTGAGCCATCTCTCCAGCTCCATGTTACCTTTTTAAACACAAGCTATTTAATTGTTTTCAGTTATCATTGTACATGTTTAATGTACATATTACAGAAGAGAAATTTTGTACAAGCGTATAGTGTATGTTCAATATATTCCATCATGTTCTGCTCTCTCCCACCCTGTTATTCTGGATAATTTTGTCATATATTTACATAAACATGTATTTACATATACATAAATGATTTTATGTATCTGTATAAAATCTAGAAACCACAAATGAGAAAAAAAAAATGTTTATGAGACTGTCTTAATTCTCTTAATAAGACTTTTATAGTTAAGTCCACTTTTGTGTGGATGACATAACTGTGTTCTTATAATGAAGAACTAAAAACAATTACATTCTTCATCCATTCCTTTTGTTAGATCCCTGTGTTGGTTCTATAACTTAGTTATTAATAATAGTGCTATAATAAATACTTACATGCAAGTTGACTTGAAGTCATCTGGCTAAATATTACCCTATAGTGGCATAGCTGGATCATGCAGTAGATCAAATTTAAGTTCTGTGAGAAACTACCATACTGAGTCCTGTAGTGAGTATAATGAGAGAATTGACTTTGCAAGATGTGCTGTGATCTCTATGTGTGCACAGTCTTTGCAGCACACATTAAATAAATGTGATTTTAAAAAGAATTATATTTATAGTGCTAGGAGTGTAGCTCAGTAGTAATAAGCACGTTGTGTGTGAGGCTTTGGTTTGATCCCCAACATGGCTAAATAAAATCTCGTGTATTAATTTATTTATTAGAATAAGTAGATATTGGTGCTAGCAATTTGACACAGTGAGTAGAGACTCTTGCCACCGATCCTTGTAATCTGAATTTGAGTCCCAGAACCCACTTGGATTACCTGTGCAGGTTGTCTTTTGACCTTGACATATGCATCATGAATGCATGCACACATATTAGGAATACATAAAAACTGAAAAAACAAAGTTATGGGACCTGGAGAGATGCCTCATCAGTTAAGAACACTTGCTCCTCTTTCGGGACTCCCAAGTTTGGTTCCCTTTTCTGCTCTCTGAGGCACATCACAACCCCCAGCTACAGCTCCAAGGCATTTTCTGGTCCCTAAGGGTACCTACATATACATGAAATACATATACATATACTCACTTAAACAACACACATATATACGCTTAAGTAAAAATAATAAAAAATCGTAAAGTAAAATAATAAACAGATAATTATTCATCAGGAAAATTTTTGACTCAAGGAAGTAGATTTGATAAAAATGATTTCTACTTTAATCTCTTTCCAAAGGTTTTTGTAGTCAGCATATGTTATTAGTGTATTATACAAAAATTCTGCTACTGAAGAGATGGCTTGGTAGTTGAAAGCACTCACTGCTCTTGCAGATGACTTGGGATTCAGTTTCCATTACCCAAATGGCTGCTCACAAACTTTGCAACTCCACTTGCAGGGGAGCCTACTCCTTCTCAGGCCTCCACTGGTACTAGACATGCAAATGGTACAGGCGTACATGCAGCCAAAATACCTATTGTTGGCATACTTTAAAAAAATTTCTTATATCTCTTTCTCCCTACTCCACCCCAATCTCTTCCAACACCCTAACACCAGGTAGGAGAGAGAAAGGGTTAGTTGGAGAGGGGACGCAGCTCTCTTAGCTGCTTCCTGCTGTTTAGGGTCCTTGGGTTCCTTGGAGCCAGTCCAATCCTCGTTTCACAAGATCTCCAACCTCTTGTCTCTCTGCATTAACAGAATTTGGAAGCTACAGGGGGAAGCAGCAGCAATAGCCTTGTTCTTTCTCAGAGCTCTTCAACACTCTCTGGACTCTGGCATTTATTCTTTCTCCAGAGTCCTCAGATTTAAATTATCTGCAACTAGCAAAAAGCTGCTCTCAGAGCCTGCATGCGGAAAATAGTTTGCTGCTATGGACTATCTGAATCAGTCCCATATCCCATACCTGGGATTAAAACAAAAACATACTTATATCCACAACAACTATACATTTAAAATTAAGTAAAAATTCTTTTAAGTACTTCAAAAGCTTCTTTTAGTGATATTTCATTGTCTAGGAAACATTCTTAGAAATCAGTTTTTTCCTCTAGTATGATATGGGGATGCATATACTTTATTGATAGTGAAGCATATGACTAAGGCTTGACTTTTTAACGAATACCATGCTTTTAGTTAACCAGTACAGGTTTAGACTTTTATTTTATCATTTTGTTGTTATGGTCCTAAAACTCCACTTTTTTTTTAAGGTACGAAAATTTTGAAGATCCCATGGGAACAATTGATAAGTTCCATTATGGCACTCACTATTCGAATTCAGCAGGCGTCATGCACTATCTCATCCGCGTGGAGCCCTTCACTACCCTCCACATCCAGCTGCAGAGTGGAAGGTGTGCCAAGAGTAAAACCTCTTCTCCTCTGATTGTGAAGCTGCTGTCTTGTTCTCAATGATCGTGTTGTGGTTTTCAAGTCCTCTACTGGGACATAATTTAGATAAAATCAGCCAGAATAGTTTAAGAACAAGTCATTCAAATTGATTCATGCATAACACATTTGAATATGACTTTTTCTACTGTGTTTGTAGTGTACATTTGGAATCCCTACCATTTTGTTTTCTCCATCAGCACTGTATAAACACTGCCTATTTTATTTTCTCTCCATATAACATCTATAGGTAGCCTGTATTCTAATTACTTATATTTATTTTATGTGCATTGGTGTTTTGCCTGCATGTATGTCGGAGTGAAGGTGTCTTATCTTAGGATTTCAGAGAGTTGTTAGCTGCCATGTGGGTACTGGGAATTGAGCCCTGGTCCTCTAAAAGAGCAGTCAGTGGTCTTACCACTAAGCTATTTCTCCAGTACTCTTTACCCTATCTTAATTACAATAAACTTTGGTTTCAAGAAGAGACTGTCTCTAAGATTATTAAGTATCAGTAAAATGTTACACTGCCTGAAGGTAATTTCCCTTCATAAGATACAGGAAGTTGGGCTGGAGAGATGGCTCAGTGGTTAAGAGCACTGGCTGCTCTTCAAGAGGTCCTGAGTTCAATTCCCAGCAACCACATGGTGGCTCACAACCGTGTATACTGGGGTCTGATGCCCTCTTCTGGTGTGCAGGTGTATATATGTATGAGAGGAGCACTTGTATACATAAAATAAATAAATATCAAGAAAATTGTAACTAGGTTTATTTATTTATTTTTTTATAGTTTTAGGAAAGACTATGTGAATTGACAGAGCTTTAAAATGAATTCTGTTTGTGCTTTATAAAATACCATCAAGAAAGTACAAACAACCAAGATACTATTAAGGAACTGTTTAGACTGTATACAGAATCCTTACAACCAAATAATGCAAAACCCAATTTTAAAATGGACAAGTGTCTGAATAGTTATTTCTCTAATGGAAATAGACAGGTGTCTAACACACACAAAGATGTGCAGTATCCTAGCCATCAGGGGTTCAAGTCAAAGCCACAGTGAGGGGCCACTTCAAACCCTATAATCAGCTGTCAGTATTAAAAAGGTAAAGACTACTGGTTGATGGTTTTGAAGATGAGAAGATGATGGGAGTAGAGTTTAAAATAGTAGTCTTCATAGTAGACAGTCGGGCAGTTCTTCACGAGGCTAAACATGAAATTGGTATGATTAGTAATTCTCCTAAATTTGTACCTAGCATAACTGAAGACATAAAAGTGAGTACATCCACGTTAGTAACAGCATTCCTGTGAACTGTCAAATGGGACAAAGACAGTAGACATTTACAAAAGAGTAAAATTGATGGCTGGGGTTGTATCTCAGTTGATAGGGTACCTACCTATCATGCCTATCAAACCTAGGTTTGAGCCCCACTACTGTATAAACCTCGTGTGAAGGCACAAGCAGTAATCCCAGCACTTGTGAGAGAGAAGCAAGAGTTTAAGGTCATCCCTTGCTACATAGCACATTCAAGGCTGGATTACATGAGGCTCAGTCTTAAAATGAAATCATATTAGTTATTAGTGTCAATTTAGCATTTTAGACTAAAGTCTATTGTTTTTTTTTTAATTAACATAGCATTAAGAAAAAAAAATCAATTGAATGTTGTGGGTTTTGTGATTATAGAAAGCATAATACAATTAGAGCACTATCACTTGAGGTTTTTCCAGCTATCATATATAGGCTTTGAGTGCCTATAATGAAACCTAAATCAACTAATTAAAAATTATGGGGCTGAGGAAATGTACTTGAGTGTCTGCCATATAAAGCCATCAGGACCAAAGTTTGAATCTGCAGAATTCATGTAAAAATCTGTGCTGAGTACTGGGAACAGGCTAATCCTCAGAGCTCACTAGCCAGCCACTCTAGCCAGTTGGTAAGATCTGGGTCCAGTAAGAGATCTTATCTCAAAAAATTAATTAAAGTAAGCTAATAGCACATGCAAATAATTTACAAATGCTTAGCTGATACTGCTTCCCAAATTACATCTGGTTTTTAGTGAAAGAGTTTGTGCTGATAATGTATTAAGGATTAGTTCAGAAGCATTCCTGTGATTCTGTTAACTAAATATATAAGTGCTGTTATGTTTAGAATTATTTTGAACTAATTTTTTTTTTCAGACTGGCTCTCATGCTGTAGACTGCATTGGCTACATTGGCCTGGAATTCATTCTTTATGCTAGACTGGCCTTGTACTTGGGAAAGTCCTGCCTCAGCGTCCCAAGTTGTGGGGGTTTTTAAGGCATTAACCTCTATACCCACTATATGCTTTGACTTTCCCTTTCTCTCTCTCTCTCTCTCTCTCTCTCTCTCTCTCACTTGTATCCCCCTATAACTCCCTCTTGTCTCCTCCCAGTCCCCCCTCCCTCCCTATTCTCCTCCCATGCCCCTCCCCTAGTCCACTGACTGATAGGAAAGGTCCTCCTCCCCTTCCATCTGACCCTAGCCTATGGGATCTTATCAGGGCTGGCTGCATCATCTTCCTCTGTGGCATAGTAAGGCTGAACCCCCAGGGGGAGGTGATCAAAGAGCCAGCCTCAGAGTTCATGTCAGTAAAAGCCTTTGTACCCCTTACTAGGGAACCCACTTGGAAACTGAGCAGCCTATGGGCTTCCTCTGAGCAGGGGGTCTAGGTCCTCTCCATGCATGGTCCTTGGTTGGAGTATTGGGCCTAGGGTTTTTGGCTCTGTTGGTCTCCTTGTGGAGTTCCTATCCTCTCCAGGTCTTTCTAGCACCCTCTTCTTCAGTAAGGTTTCCTGCACTCTGCCCAAAGTTTGACTATGAGTCTCAGTATCTCCTTTAATACCCTTCATTTTCAAACATGTAACTTACATTACCTTTTTGTAACAAATTTTACTCAGCAAATTTTGTGTCTTTAAAATTCTTTGTTGGTGCTGTAGTTGAACCTAGAGGCCCTGAGCATTCCAGGGAAGCCCTCTGCCAATAACCTGTATATCCAATCCATATGCCTTTGCTTTGAAGTCTTTTATGATTGTATTTAATTTACTTGCAATCTTGTCCTGGTGAGATTTTATTTTCAATAAATGTAAACAAAATGATACTGACAGCAATGATAATAGTATTTAACTTGTGACAACAAACTTAATTATAGATTATCATCATAAAGATAATAAAAGTTATTTTCAAATATTAAAGATGAAGAAAGAACAGCTGTGGTCATGTGGAAGCTTGAAGGGAGCTTAGAGGCTTTTGTTCTGTGCTTCCTAGTTTTCATCCAGTAGACTATTGTCTTTCAATCCCACATGCAGGTTTGACTGTGCAGATCGGCAATTCCATTCCATCCCTGCTACCTGGCAAGCGCTTATGGATAATACATATGATGTTAAAGAACTTATTCCTGAATTCTTCTATTTCCCAGAGTTTTTAGAAAATCAAAACGGTAAGAAATAGGGGATTTAGATTTTTATTCAGTAGGTTCTAATGAAAAATCCTAAAAACAATTTTGAGGGCATTGTTTGTAATAGTACATAATTTATTTAAGGTTTGTGTAGCTACTCAGTGACAGGACTTCACTTGTACCAGGGAAACGACATACAGAGCCAAGTCTTACTTTCTAGAGAAGTGATAATAGGAGACTAAAATATGAGTCAAATTTGAATTCATAAGAGAATTCAGAGTACAGTCTATTAGAGACACAAAAACTGTTGTACACTGTCATTACGAGACTCTGAGGTAAATAAGGTGATAATTTGGATCAAGATCTGTGATCAAACTCATGTTTTTAAGAATTATCATTTCAACATATTGACCAGTTTATTTATATATTTCCTATTTATAACTGCTTTCATAAATTAGTGATCAACTTGAGTAGTTAAGGAGAGACCGTGTAACTCACAAAGATACAAATGTTCTTTTCCCTTTTAACGAAGACTTCTGCTGACTCCTTATTTGGAATGTACAACAGGTGCACATTTAAAATAGTTGCTAACTCATTGAACTTTTTGACAAAATTAGGTTTTTGGAGTAGAGATGCATGATGATAATTAAAATTTAAAAGTATTCAAATATTTTTCTATAGTGTTATTTTATTTATATATATATTTATATAAATATATATAAATATATATTTATATATAATATATATTATATATATTAGTCTGTGTGATGCTAGAGATTGAACTAAGAATCTTGTACACACAGTTGGCATACACTCTACAATCTAACTGCTTCCCTAGCTTTACATTTGTTTTTAAAGTACAAATAAATATGCTACATGATGTTGGGAATGTTTTATGTAGATTGTTAGTCATCTGTTGGATTGGAATTTACTAAAGCCAGTGGGTACCTGGGATAGGAAGAGTGATTGTGCTGAAGTTGAATGAAAATCTTAAGGTATTCTTTGCTCCACAATTCATGATATTTATCAAAGGTAATTGCTGTCCTCAGCCCTATGGTCTCATGGTCCCTATGTATAACTGTAATTATCTAATTGTTTGATAGAAACTTGGGCATCAGAAAACAAATATATCATCTAATAGGAAAAATTTCAATAAAATCAATACAAACTGCACAATAAAATTTGAGGTGTTTTTTTTTTATTCAAGTTTAGGAATAATTTAGTTTCAGGTTGTATAGTATCATCATGGCCAATTTCCTTCTGTATTTTCACTGTGTTACACTGAGTATTTTGGCTTTGTGTTATAGCCAGTCCTTACCATTGTTACAAGTAACAAGTAGCTTAAGTATGGCAGAGACAACAGCGTCTTAGAAAGATGGGCACATTGATGGCTGTGTCCTTTCTTAAGTATGACTTATAACTTCATTCTCTAGAACCGTGTCCAACTACTAAAGTAATTACATGAAAGACACATGACCTTTAGGGCAGAAATTAATGTGCAGATGAAATGAAGGTTCTACAGTAAGTTTAAAGGGAGATGGCTGTGGAGTGGATAGAGAAGAATGGCTGCTGCGTAGTGATCACTTACCAGAAAGCCTGGCGTCCTGTGCTCCCTGTCATTCTTGGGCCATTGAGCCTTCCCTAGACTTGGGGAGTGTGGTATTTCAAGGCAGCACGCTGAGACTTCAATACTGGTAGACTTCCATACTGAAGACTTCCTTTTGAAGGTCTTTTGTGTTAATACTTTCGATCTCACAGTTTCTGAATAAGAAAATCTCATACTTGAGAAATGGGAAGTATCTTTGTGGAATAGTGGCATGTAATTATTCTTCTATAAAACAAAACTGAGTGAGTGAGTTCAAGGTATAGGTTATACTATGAAGTTCTTTTTTTTCTTTTTCTTTCTTTTTTTTTTTTTACTATGAAGTTCTAATGAGCAGTATTTTGTAAATTGGCCATTAAAAGGACCATTATTTATTTTTAGTTAATCAGTATTCTGTTTTGATCCAATTAAAGTGAAGATTGAAGTGCCTTCACTGTTCATTTTTTTGTCATTTGCATTTGTGTGTGCATGGAACCCATGTCTATGCACTTATATGTGGATGAGTGTGTGTGTGTGTGCATCCCCCAACATTTACATGTAGAGGCGGGAAGTCAATGTCCTTTTGAGATAAGCTGGGTTGGCTGCCCAGCAGCCCACTAGGATTCCTGTGTCTCTCCAGTTCTGTGGTTACTGCATGAGCCACTGTACCTGGCTTTCCATGGATGATGAATATTCAAATTCAGATATTTGTGATTGAGTAGCTAAAATTTACCTACTGTGTCTCCCTACTTTCTCTTTCCCACTTTCCGAAGAAAAAGAGTTCTTACTCTGATATGCCTTCTAAAAATGAGTTTTAAAATACTTTATGTAGTTTAATTAGTGAATAAAATATACTGCAATAGAGAAATTTTTTCTAGTTATGTGGTCTCTTTTATATTTGAATTTCATCGCTTTTTAAAATTTAAAATGTTCTGATGTTTTTATTTTTTAATGTGTCTTAGAATTTAATTTGGGTCATTTACAAGTTTCCAAAGAACTGGTAAATGATGTCATTCTTCCAAGATGGGCTAAGTCAGCTGAAGATTTCATTTATAAACACAGAAAAGCTCTGGTAAGATTTCTGTTGCATCACTACCAAGTCTAATAAAATATAGATGTGTTTTTTAAAGATAAGTTAAACTGTATTTTTTCTAGATTAATTTGTTACCTGTTATATATTACTGCTCTAGATTGTACAGTATGGTATTTTAATTTTAGGATATAAATCTTGTCATACCATTTATGAATAAAATAGTAAATAGAGGTTTCTACTTTTTTAAATAATAGTTTATAATAATGTATATGTAAGTCTAATTATAAAAATTATCAGTGTCATAAGTTTTTAATATCTGATATATAGAATATGAAATTTCTTATTTAATCAACTCTTAGCGTTTTTTTTTTTTAATTGAAAAGTTGTAGACAACTACTACAAAAAGAACTGCAAAATGCAACTACAAAAGTTGCATTCCATGGCTCTTGTTAACTCTGCTAGATTTGGGGAGATGTTAATAGTTTTTTTGTGTTGTTTTCTTTCCCCAGTGGATTTGGGTGCATTTTGGAATTTTTGATTTTTGGATTAGGGATGATCATGTGGTAAATCCTCTACAACTATTTTAAAATGTGTGATTATCCACAGTCTGAGTTGGGCCTAGTGGCAGTTCCTTAGGAGGATGAAGCCTGAGTTCATGTCTTTGAGGCCAGCCTTAACAACATGGTGTGAACTTGTCTGAAACAAAACAAACAGCAACAAGCGAACTCTCAAATGCTTGTGGCCCAGATCATTTTGCATAAGGGGTCTCCAGCCTGTCTCAACACTCCACTTGTATGTGTGTCTTTAGAGGGGTTGCTCTCTGTTTTCCCAGCTGGTGTAACTCAGTAGAATAGTTTGCAGTTTCCATTTTTTAAAAATCAGTTCATCATGACTACGTTTCTTAAGTTTTCTGAAAGATTACCATAGCTCCTAATAAAACCAGCCTAATCCAAAATATCGCTTTAAAAATCTTACTAGTTTTTAGGTAAATTTTCAACGTGGAATTGAAGGAGTAGTGAGAGTTAGTTAAACGTTGATAATTGTGTTACTGTCCAATAGCACACATTTACCAAGCCGTATTCCCTCAAAGAAAAACATGTGTACAAAAGTTTTTGCCTGCATGGGTGTCTATACCCTATGTGTGTACAGTACCCAAGGACGCAAAAGAAGGGGTCAGATATCCTGGAGCTGAAGTTACAGACGGTTGTTAGCTTTCCTCTGGGTTCTGGGTGTTGAACACCCTTTCTTTCTCTAGAAGGAAAACCAGTGTTCTTAATTACTGAGCCATCTCTCTGGCTCCATACCCTTTTTAAAAGCGGAATTTAGAGTATAGTTACAGGATACCTATATTAATTATTAAATTTGTTCTCTTTTCAGGAGTCTGAATATGTTTCTGCTCATCTTCATGAGTGGATAGATCTGATTTTTGGCTACAAACAGAGAGGGCCAGCTGCAGTGGAGGCACTCAATGTCTTCTATTACTGTAGTTATGAAGGTATAAGCTTAAATATTTCTTCTCTGGTAGTATTTCAGTAGAATTAGTGTTTATTTGTTATACGTGATATTTGAGCCCACATACATACATAACATGGGAAAGACTATATCAACAAAATAGCTTTTCAGTTGGAAGGTCACAAAACTGCCATTGTGTTTTTTAATAGTAATTTATAATAGTGTGTGTGTGTGTAAATCTAATTATAAATGACAATTGTAACATGCTTTTGGTTTCTTATGAGAAATCAAAGTTTCTGTTGAATCAAATTTTTGTTTGCTTATTTGTTTTTGTTTTTGATAGGGTCTCTCTACATAGCCCACTCTGTAGACCAGGCTGGCCTTGAGCTCGAAGAGATCCACCCACCTCTGCCTCCCAAGTGCTGGGATTAAAGGAGTGCACCACCAGTACCTAACATCGTCTTCACTGAATTCTACACATTATATTTTTAATAAATTTTGAAAGAAGGCGTTTAGAATTACCAGTAATATATTTTTCAAATAACATTAGTTCAACATCGGAGCTGTTATTTTGTCTTTTTTTTTTTTTCCAGAGCTGAAGACCAAACATTAGAACTGTTTTGCAGAGAAAAATGTTCTGTCTTTTTAAATCTTTTTTTGTGTGTATATGTATATGATATGTGTATGGGCATATAAGAAAGTTGTCAGGCTGTTTTCCTCAGTGGTTCTTCCTCTTATTTTTTACAGAGGATCTCTTACATGAACCCAGACATGTGTGCACACATATACACACAAATACACACAAATAAAAATAATGTTTTTAGAAAATTACTTTCTGGTGACATAAGTTGAAGACTCACATTTTGTTTAAAATGTGTTAATCAGTCCTTGATGTATTAATCAGCGTCATGCTGGTGTGTTTTTTGTCAATGGTGAGTTAATTACTTATTGTTTTAGGTGCTGTAGATCTTGATGCCTTAACAGATGAAAAGGAAAGAAAAGCCTTAGAAGGGATGATTAATAATTTTGGGCAAACACCTTGTCAGCTGTTAAAGGTAAATTAAATACATTATCAACAGCTTAGAGAAGTAGTTCTTAAGCTTCCAACCATAAAATTATTTTTGTTGTTACTTCATTTCTGTAATTTTGCTAGTGTTATAAATTGTAATGTAAGTATTTTTGACATAGGGGTTTGCCAAAGGGGTTGCAACCCAGAGGTTGAGATTCACTGGCCTAGAGAATGATGTTTCTAAGTATTCTGAGACTTGAAGAAGAGTCACGTCTTAGAGTATGTAATTGATAGGGCTTGATTTATATGACTCCATTTATCCTGTAAAGTGCTTATGTAATTGGTAGAGAGGGATATCAAAGTGAAATCTAGAATTGAATGTCCAAAGCCTAATACAACTGTTGTTCTTAAAAGTTTTAGTTCAATTTAAAAGTTCAAGAATCATTGTCTAGAATTTAGGAAAAATTTATATTAACCTGTCACTTAAAAATAAGTAAATTTGATTGTTCCTACCTTAACAAAAACACTGAAGTCAGATCCAGTTATGAAGTCAGATGTTTTGGCACCTACTTGTCCAGATACTCAAGATGCTGGAGTGGGAAATAATGAATTCTAGGGCAGCTTGGGTAACATCTGAAAAAGTTCACTCATTTGTAAAAGGTTTCCCTATGCATGTACATTACCTGGATATGATTCCTAGCCATAAGGGGAATTTGCATAGCCAATTATTCATAAGTCACAAAAGGATTTATATTTACTCAAAAAAAACCTGATTATTTTAAATTTGTAACAACCTAGTAGCATAATATCTAAGCTCAGGTTTATAATTATATTTCAACTTTTGGACTGTTTTGTAATTTCTACTGTTCCATAGTGATGATTTGCATGGAGTGTTGAAATGGTCCCAGTAGAGACCATAAAATCCAGGAGGGCCTGGGCAGATGTCCTACAAACCCTAAAAGACCAGAAATGCCAGTGTCCAGACTACTATAACCCAGCAAAGCTTTCAGTCACCATTGATGGGGGAAACAAGATATTCTACGACAGAACCAAATTTAAATAGTATCTGTGAACAAACCCAGCCTTAAAGAAGATACTGGAAGGAAAGCTCCCACCCAAGGAAGTTAACTGTACCCAAAAAACACAAGATATAAATAACTTCACTACAGCAAAACCAAAAGTAGACATACACACACACACACACTACTACAACCAATATCAAAATAAAAGAATCTAACAGTCATTGGTCATTAATATATCTCTACATCAATGTTCTCAACTCTCCAATAAAAAGACACAGACTAACAGAATGGATGTGTAAACATACCCCGTCATTCTGCTTCATACAAGAAACACACCTCAGCCACAAAGATAGAATAGACATTACCTGAAAGTAAATGGCTGGAAAAAGGCTTTCCAAGCAAATGGACCCACGACGCAAGCTGGGGTAGCTATTCTAATATCTAATAAAATAAACTTTCAAGCAAAATTAATCAAAAAGAAGGACATTTTGTACTCATCAAAGGAAAATTCCATCAAGAAGATATCTCAATATCTCTGAACATCTGTGCCTCAAATACAAGAGCACCCAAATTTGTAAAAGAAACATTAATAAAAAACTTAAACCACACATAGATCCTCACACATTAATAGTGGGAGACTTCAACACCCACTCTCACCAAAGGACAGGTTAATGAAACAGAAACTAAAAAGAGAAATTGACACAGATATCATGAATCAAATGGACCTAACAGACATCTACATAACTTTTTCACCCAAACACAAAAGAATATATCTTCTTCTCAGCACCTCACGGAACCTTCCCCAAAATAGACCATATAGTTGGTCACAAAGTGTAAGCCTCAACAGATACAGGAAGATTGAAATAATGCTTGTATCATATCAGACCACCATGGTCTAAAACTAGACCTCAACAACAACAGAAATAACAAACTGCCTACACACACATGGAAACTGAATGACATCAGGGTCAGGGAAGAAATAAAGAAACTAGAGACTTCTAGAATTCAATGAAAATGAAGGCACAACATGCCCAAACTTATGGGACACAATGAAAGCACTGCTAAGAGGAAAGTTATAGTACTAAGTGAAAGAAAGAAAGAAATTGGAGACATCTCATACAAGCAACTTAATGGCACATCTGAAAGCCCTGGGCGGGGGCGGGGGGGAAAGAAGCAGACAGACCCAAGAGGAGTAGACAATTTGAAATAATCAAACTCAGGGCTGAAATAAAAAAATTAAATTAGAAACAGAGAACAATTCAAAGAATCAATGAAACCAAAAGCTGCTTCTTTGAGAAAAATCAACGAGATAGACAAACCCTTAGCCAAACTAACTATAAGACAGAGAGACACTATCCAAATAACAAAATCAGAAATGAAAAGGGTGACATAACAACAGACACTGAGGAATTCCAAATAATCATTAGGTCTTACTTCAAAAGCCTATATGCCACAAAATTTGAAAATCTAAATAAAATGGACAACTTTCTTTATAGAGTCCACTTACCAAAGTTGAACCAAGATCACATGGACAAAATAAATAGTTCTGTATCCCCTAAGGAAATGGAAGCAGTCATCAAAAGTCTCCCAACCAAAAATAAAGCCCACAGCCTGATGGTTTCAGCACAGAATTCTACCAGATCTTCTTCAAAGAAGAGCTTATATCAGTACTCTTCAAACTATTCCACAAAGTAGAAACAGAAGGAACATTACCAAACTCAGTTTTATAAGGCTACTGTTTTCCTTGATACCTAAACCACACAAAGACCCAACAAAGAGAATTTCAGACCAATTTCCTTTATGAATATTGACATAAAAATACTCAATAAAATACTTGCAAACTGAATCTAAGAACACATTAAAGATATCATCCACCATGACCAAGTAGGCTTCATCCCAGGCATGCAGGGGTGGTTCAACATATAGGAATCTATCAATGTAACCCATTATTAAACAAACTGAAGAAAAAAAAAAAGATCATCTCCTTAGATGCCAAAAAAGTGACAAAAAAAAATCCAACACCTGGTCCTGTTAAAAGTCTTGGAGGCACTATAGGCTAGATAGGAAATATTTGTCACAAATAACCAATGACTACTTAAAAGAAAAAAATAAGAAATTCTAAACAATTGGTAAAAGCATGAAAAAAAGTTCTAACCTGGACATAAATGGTAGGAGTACTATCCATAAAGTGAAACTTTAAAGTAGGAATGAGATGTCCGTAGAGAAGATGAGTGGTAAATTTGCTGGGGGGACTAGGATGAGCCACAGCTTGGAGTTCTTAAGAGCATGATAATGCATTTGATTGTAGCACAGTCCACTATGTATGACTGAACACTAACATGTTTTCATTTAACTGAATTTTTAAAATTATTTTGAAGGAACCACACCCTCCACGATTATCAGCAGAAGAAGCGATTCAAAAGCAGACCAAAACAGAACTTTCAACCCTAAACCTTTTTCAACACCTCCCTGAACTGAAGTCATTTTTTATAGAGGTAATACCCAACTTGGTGATATCAGAGATCTTTCTCCAGTTCTGTATACTATAGTTAATTTGTTTGTGTTTATGTACATGTATGTGCAGGTGGGCTCATCCGTGCCTGGAGTTGTACCACTTTTTGGTGTGTGTGGGAAGCCAAAGCTGAGCTTCAAGTATCTTCTGTTGCTCTCTCCACCTTATTTTTTAAAGACAGAGGCTTTCACTAAACTAAAACCGTGCTGTTTGGTTAAGGTAGCTGACCAGTGGGGCCTAGGGTTTCATCTCTTATCACATATCTTTCACCACCAGTGTTGGCTTTATAGGTGCGTGCTGCCCCACTCAGCTTTTTCTAAAATGGGTACTGGGGCCCTAACACAGTTTACTAACTAAACCATCTTCCCACTCCAATTCATTCAATTTTAATGAAAGAAAAATATTATAATATGATGCTTCAAAGAAAATGATATGTATTTGTGTGTATCTGAATGAGCTATGTGCATTCTGCATGCAGAAGCCTGGAGGCTAGAGGTGGATGGAGCTACAGTTAAAGGTGGCCAGGGCTGCCTGATACTGGCTCTGGGTTCAAACCTGCCCCCTCTGCAAGAGCTCTTAACCACCAAGCCAGCTCCAACCCCAGCCCTGGACTTTTAAATTACTTACATTGTAAGCTTTTCTTTGCAGCTAAGTGGTGTTCTGAACTCTTTCTTGGCTTGCTTTCTTGACAAGTAAGAACAAATAACAAATAACAAATTCAGAGTACTTATGGGCAGGGCATGGTGTACATGCCTTTATTCCCTGAACTTGGGATGCAGAGGCAGGTGGATGTTTTAAGTTCAAGGCCAGCCTGCTCTACCTAGAAAATTCTAGGCCAGCCAGGATTACATAGTGAGACCTGTCTTACAAAAAAAAAAAAAAAAAACTTCAAAAGTATTTCTTGTAACAATTGAAATATTGTGTACAGTGGTGATATTTTAATAGCTCTTAATTATATCTGCTTATCTATAAAATATATCCCAATCATAAGATTGTTAATTGATAGTGTTAGAAGTAAAATAGTAATTAATGCTATAATTGAAAGAGTGCTCTCAGCTGGGCAGGGTGGTACAAGCCTGTAATTCCAGCTCTTAGGGAGGCAGAGGCAGGTGGATTTCAAGGCCAGCCTGGTCTACAAAAGAGTCCAGGACAGCCAAGGCTACACAGATAAACCCTATCTCAAAGAAGCCTCTTCAGGATGAAGTTTTCCTTCAGTGCCTCTGTGGATCTGGTTTTGTATAACTTTTTTTTTTTTTTTTTTGTGGAATGTCTTATTTTCTCCATGTGTTGTGATTGAAAGTTTTGCTGAGTTTCTGTGCTGGCGTCTGTGGTCTCTTAGACTCTGCAGAATATTTGTCCAGGTCCCTCTGACATTAAGAGTCTCCATTAAGAAGTCAGATGGACTACTAATAGGTTAGCCTTTATAGTCTAAGGGACTTTTTCCCTTGCAGCTTTTAATATTTCTTTGTTCTGTATGTTTAGTATTTTGATTATTTTTACTGAGAGGACTTTCTTTCAAGTCCAGTCTGTTAATGTTCTGGATATTTCTTACATCTTGATACACATCTCCTTAGGAAATTTTTCCTCTGTGACTTTGTTAAAAATACAATTTGTGCCTTTGACCTGGATTTCATCTTCATCCTCTATTCCTATTATTCTTAGGATCCCAGATTTTCTGGCTGTGTTGTGTCAGGAATTTTTTAGATTTAACATTTTCTTTGATCAAAGTATCCATTTCTTCCTTGTGTCTTTAATGCCCGAGATCCCTTCCATCTCTTATATTCTGTTGGTAAGGCTTGCCTCTGAGGTTCCTTTTTGAAGTTCCTGTTTGAATTCCTAAATTTTTCATTTCCAGATTTCCCTCAGTTTGAGTTTTATTTATTGATTCTATTATTACTTTCATGTCTTGAATTGATTTGTTCATTTTTTCCAGTGTTTGTGTTTTTGTAAGTTTCTTGAAGGATTTGACTTATTTCTTCGTTAAGGGCCTCTATCATATTCATAAGGGCTATTTTAAGTTAATTTGTTTTTCTTGCTCCTCAGCTATGTTGTAGTACTCAGGGCCTGCCGTGGAAAGGTTGCTAGGCTCTAGGGGGAGATGTTGGTGTCTAGGCATCTGGGAATTTTGGAAGACTGATTCTAGGTGCTGGTATCTGGTCTTGTTTCTGTTGAGTGGGTGTTTTGTTCCTTGGTTTCTGTTTGCCTCTCTGGATTTTTAGGAGAGTGTGGTAGCTGTGGTTTTGTCTGGTAGGAAATTCTTCTAGGATCCTGATAGGTGTGGCTGCTGGGGTTCCAGGTAAAATGTTTTTTTAGGTATTGGGAGTTGATGGGGATAGACAGCAGAGTGTACCAGAGTCATCTTGGTCCTCTGTAAATGAGGCAGAGAGTGAGGAGAGGCTGCAGAGCTAGGTGGTCTGCTGCAGAGCTGGGGTGAGGCTTAGCAAAGGAGGGAGAGGTGGCAGTCTGCAGGGAGTGCCTGCTGGGGTTAGAGGCTGGGACACAGCAGTGAGTGAGAGGAGGGAAGTTAGGAGGGGAGCATTTGTGTGCCGAGCTGGAGATGGGGGCCGGGGTGGAGGGAGCATGCTGCAGGTGCTGTGTTGCAGAGCTGGGGTGAGACTTGGGGGTTGGGCATAGAGGAGCTGAGGTCTACAGTTACCGTGCATGCCTCCCTGGTGGCGTCCCAGATGACTCTTGACTCACAGTGTGAAGAGAAAAGCAGTTTTTATGATTCATAAGTTATATTGGATTTTATAACTTACTTAGTTCTTATAGACCTCTTAGAATAATACTTGATACATGGCATATATCCAATAATGTTGTCTACAGTAAATACTAGCTATCGTTTTTGAATTATAGCCACATCAGCAAATTATGTTCAAATTACTGTTATCCTTTTTTTAAGGCCTTTTAAAAAGATTTTGTTTATTTTATGTAAGAGTGCTGCATCTGCATGTATGGCAGAAGAGGGCATCAGATCACAATGTAGATGGTTGTAAGTCACCATGTGGTTGCTGGGAATTGAACTCAGGACTTCTGGACGAGCAGCCAGTGCTCTTAACCTCTGAGCCATCTCTCCAGCCCCAAATTATTCTTATCTTATATGGTGATAAGGTGATGATAATTGTCTCCTTAGAATCTTCTTTACCTTTGAATCATTTATGATATTCATAATCTAGGACTTTCAGAAAGTACCTCAGTTAACAAAATAGATTGATGTTTTTAATGTCAAACCCAAACGATTTTCCTATAAATTATAGACAACTTTCTTATTTAACTTACTCTAAGCATATTCTTCTGCATTATGTTTGTGTCAGTATAGCAAGGGACAAAGAAACATCCTAAATCTCTCTCTGTTTTGAATGATATCTGTTCCTAGGTAGCCATATCTGGTCACCAGTATCGGAACAGATGGTGATAGGTTTCAGATGATTAAAATGTGCTAAATACTGAAACAGGGCAGATAATTCCTTTTCCACATTTTATAGTATATTATTACAGGAGAGTAAAATGAAGTATTGTAGGGGTCTTTCTTGTTTAAAAAAATTCAATAATTTATACCTAATAAATATGAGCAGAAACAGCCATTAAATATCTTTTATTTTTCAGGGAATTAGTGATGGTATTCCACTATTAAAGGCCATCATCCCCAAAAATCAATCTCGTTCTTTCATGTCTCAAGGCAGCCCTGAGTTACTGGTAAGCTGATGTATACCTCTTTCATATTGCATTGTCTGTATCTTTTCAAATTTAAATTTATTTATTTTTTGATTAATTACAGTTTATTCACTTTGTATCCCGGCTGTGGCCCCCTCCCTCATCTATTCCCAATCCCACCGTCCCTCTCTCTTCTCCTCCCATGCCCCTCCCCCAGTCCACTGATAGCCACCCTTCCCCTTCCATCTGACTCTAGCCTATCAGATCTCATCAGGACTGGCTGTATTGTCTTCCTCTGTAGCCTGGTAAGGCTGCTCCCCCCTCAGGGGGAGGTGATCAGAGAGCAGGCTTCTAAGTTCATGTCAGAGACAGTCCCTCTTCCCTTTACTAGGGAACCCACTTAGAGACTCAGCTGCCATGGGCTACATCTGTGCAGGGGTTCTAGGTTATCTCCATGCATGGTCCTTGGTTGGAGAATCAGTCTCAGAAAGGACCCCTGGGCCCAGATTTTTTGGTTCTGTTGCTCTCTTCTGCCTGTATCTTTAGTTTACCACGTATATGTGTGAGGATGTGCACATGCTGGCCTGCATTTGGAGGTCAGAGGACAGTGTGTGTGAGTTGATCCTCTTTTCCATCATGTGCGAAGATTTAAGCTTGGGTCCTCAGGGTTAGTAGCAATTGCATTATCCTTTGAAGCTATCTCATTGTCCCAATTAAATTTTTTAAAAGAAAATTTTAGGTATATTTTTGGTATTGATATGTACCACATGCATTTTTGGTTTCTGAGGAGGTCAGAAGTGGGCATCAGATCTTCAGAAAGTTGAGTTAAAGATGTTTTATGAGCCACCATGTGGATGCCAGAATTCAAACCTCAGTCCTCTGGAAAAGCAGCCAGTGCTCTTAACTACTGAGCCACTTTTCCGTGCCTAAAAGAGTATTTTTAAAATAATCAAGAAGGCTGGAAGGATAGCTTCATGGTAGAATACCTGCTTAGCATGTGTGAGGCCCTACTTTTAACCCTCAGAATTACAAAAAAGAATGGACAAATTCTTTATGAAATTAATTTCATTAAATATATATCTCCTGTATATATTGCTTGTAAGTAGTTACTGTAATTATAACATTTATCTGGAAAAATAAATACATGAAAATAACTAGGAAACATTGTCATAACCACAATAACAATACTCAAAACTAATACTGATTTTATTAAGGTTATACACCTAGGGAATTTCAGTGAATGTTTTGCATGAATTTATATTTAATCTACCCAACAGCCATGTGAAATAGGAACTATTATTTACCTTTTAACAGATAAGAAATTAAATCTCAGAAAGACCATGCGCCAAATCATAGAGCTAGTGAGTAAGGATATGAGACTTTGGCACATGAACTAAAACTGGGTTTGTCTTATTCTAATTTTGTAACTTAAGCATGATTGAATTATGCTGTAGCACAGTAGTAAATAGTAGAGAGGGCAGAATTAGATTGCTTTTTATGGTATGTATCGTGCTTGATTAGAAAAGAATAATAGAAATAAATATAATAGTACTGATTATAGTTTTTACCTTTAAGATTCTGTAGTTTTCAACTTCAAAATCCATATAATTTTAAGTTTCCTAAATCTGGGGATGGCTAGCCTGTTCTATAATTGAAGGAGTGACAAGCCTTTCACTTTTAAAATCAAGAATGGGCTAAGACTGTCACTTCAGGGACATTGTAACAGTTCGTCAACTCTACTGATTTGTTCTAGATTATGTTTGTGGCATGCTTTTTGTGGTAAAAGTTAACCTTATTAACAGTAATGGTAATAACCTGAGAAATTAGAAGGAAAAGAACTTGTTAAAGAAGACAACTTTTCTTATAATAAGCTGTAAATAGGTTTTTCCACTTGATTTATTTAAGATTTGGTTTCATGTATCTTACAGTATTCCCTGAATAATAGGTGTTAAATTCTGTGAGCCTCTGGTTACTTTTAGTCACATTCTTTAATCTTTTATTTGAATTTTCATATATTCTTTTTCAGGTAACAGTAAGCATGAATTATGTCATTGGAACCCATGGATGGCTACCATATGACAGAAATATTTCGAACTACTTCACATTTATTAAGGATCAAACTGTGACCAACCCCAAGTAAGTAGCTGAACACTTACAGCAGAACAACTCATGAATTTTGTGTTTGTTTGCTTGTTGTTGCTATTGTTGTTGTTTTGAGACAGGGCTTCTCTGTGCAGCCTTGGCTGTCCTGGACTCACTTTGTAGGCCAGGCTGGCCTCAAAGTCACAGAGATACGACAGCCTCTGCCTCCTGGGTGCTGGGGTCACAGACGTGTGCCACCACTGACCAGTGATTCCTGTCATTTTTAAAGTAGTACTTGGAGACACCAATTTTTATTCTTTCTCACTTTCTATCTCCTCTGTTTTCAAGTTATACCTCGACAATGTTTGATATTCAACATTAACTAATTTCTCTTTTAACAAAATGGAATAAAATATTACTTTAGGAGTGGTAAATTATCATATTATTCTTCACTGCTTGCAAATAATCTTTATTTGGGTTTTTTTGTTTGTTTGTTTGTTTTTGTTTCTTTTTTCTCAGACAAGATTTCACTGTGTAACCCTGGCTGGCGTGGAATTCATGCTAGAGACCAGACTGGCCTCAAACTGTCCTCTATCTGTCTCCTTAGTGCTAAGATTAAGCAGTGAGTTGTCACCTCATCTGAGAGATATTTTATAGTTGGTAATAGTCTAAGTAATCTCTTAAGGCAAAGTAAAATTCAGTTGTGTTTACAGAGCTCAGCGCACTGTGAATGGTCCTTTTGCCCCAGGGCTGGAAATCACATCCAAACTGTTTGTAGTGTCACATGATGCGAAGTTGCTCTTCAGTGCCGGACACTGGGATAATAGTATCCAAGTGATGTCACTTACCAAAGGAAAAATTGTCTCACATAACATCCGACATATAGGTAAGAATTAACTTTCCCCAAAACTTGTATAAAAGTGGCACAAACTCCTGTTAGGAATATTTATTGTATGGGGGGTACATTCAAGCACCATATAAATTAAATATAATTTCATATTACATTAGATTGTATTACAGATATAATGATTTTGTAACCACATAATAAAACATTATTAACAGTAAAGTATGAAAGATAAAATTGTTGAATATATATTAACCTGGTATACCTTAGTATTTCAGGTCTCGGTTTAAGAATAAAGGTTTTTTGGGTTTTTTTCAATAACCCTGTTAGATGAGGGTGGCAGAGTCTGCTGCTGACTCTTCACTGGTGATTTCCAAGTATTCCTTAGTGCAGCTGATTGCAGAGCCTTCTGGAAAATTGATTTTTATATTACGAGTTTGTAACATACTATGTACTGTCTTTCTTATTTATTCAGTTATGGTGTGTGTATGAGTGTTTTGCCTGCATGTTTCTCTGTGCACCACATGTATGCAGTGACTGCTGAGGCTGGAAGAGGTCATCAGATCCCCTGGGTCTGGAGTCACAGGTTATTGTGAGCTTCCATGTAGGTGGTTGGAATCAAACCTAGGTCCTCTGGAAGAGACTCCCATAAAATCATAACTGCTGAACCATCTGTCCAGACCCTGTACTGGTTTTCTTAAGGATACATTCCATTAGATAGTCATTTTCAGTGGGAGGAAAATGTGATAGGGTGAGAGAGCGGAAAAATAGCAGCATTACTTACGAACCCCTCCTCAGTGTCATGTCTCACCCCAGAACGAATGGTCGCCGTGACAGCTCTTAGATGACTGGCCCTGGGATGACCTCTGTTATTCGCCTCCTGTGTTTTTGTTACATTTGTTTTGTGTGGGGTGCACACGTGTGTGCCAGGAGGTTAGAGGACTGCTTGCAGAACTCAGGCCTCTGCTGCTATGTGTGTACAAAGGGATTAAGTGCAGATCACCAGGCTTGGCAAATTCCTTTACTTGCTGAGCCATCCTGCCAGCACTGGCTTAGTAATAATTTGAACATTTACTGGAATTGCTCTTAAAGTCCTGTTCTGTCAAAACATATCCATTTTATTTTATTCTTTCTTCAAACAGATATTGTGACTTGCTTAGCTACAGATTACTGTGGATTATACTTGATTTCTGGTTCCAGGGACACTACATGTATGATATGGCAAATAACACAACAGGTAATAATCACAAAATTTATGTTCTTGGACTGGGGTAATGAGTATTTCTCTGGCAGTAAATGACATTTTGAACATTTTTGTATTCTGTTTTTTGAGTTCTGCCCTGTCTTAAACACCACTCTAGATTTTTTGCCTGATTCATGGCTTTGTTCTCTAGTAGTTACCAAAAATTACTCCTTGCCAGCTTCTCTAGAAAAATATTAAGTTGGCATAATAACATTCCCTCTTGTTCTCTCTGGTGGAACTGTAGAAATGACAGATGTCCAGATGTTCTTCCTCATTGTTGCAGTCTTACCATGATATTGGTTTAGACAGTTTTTTTTTTTTTTTAATATAATAGTTTCTAAGTTTTCTATCCTGCTAACAGGCTGTCTCCCATTCTAGTTTCTCCTCTGCTTCTTACTTTGTATGTTATAGTATTGGTAGTTTAGATGTTTTATAAGGCTTCATCTGTGGCTCAGTAGGAAGCAAGTATTGTGTATCAATCAATCTTTTAAAGTCTCTTTTAGAATTTTGTGGTGTTCTTACTGAAAATTGTTCTTACCTAAGCATGGTGAATGATCACAAACATAAGGCCTAAGTAAGCTTTTTTATTTTATTTTTGAGATTGTAATTTAAGTACACCTTTTCTCCTTTCCCTTTCCTCCTTTCAAACCTTTCCGTATATCCCTTCTCACTCTCCTTCAAATTTCATGGCCTTTTGTTTTATTAGTCATTGTTACATATGTGTATGTATTTAGATACATACATATTCCTAAATATAACTTGTTGAGTCCATATAATACTACTTGTATGCATGTTTTAAGAATCGACTGTTGGGTGCTGGATTGGTGCGGACTTCCCTGGGAAGGACCACCTCTCTCAGCTTTCCTCAGTTGCCTGTTGTTTTTTGTGTAGTGTCCCATCCAGTTTGTCCATTGTTATTGTCCTTGTTCAGTTCCCATTTGGGCAGGTGAGCTGGTGAGACTTTATGGGTATAGCTTCTGATGTTACTAAAAGACACAATCTCACAGCAAACTACCCGATCCTATGGCTCTTACACTTTCAGTGGCCCATCTTTTGCAGTGATTACTGAGACTTAGGCATGGAAGTTGTTTTATAGATGTTTTTGTTGAGGTTCGGCTCCACAACTCTGTATTTTGATTGCTTGTAGATTTTTGCAGTGGTCTACATCTGTTACAAAGAAAAAATTCCTTGAGGGGTGAAGACTATACTTGTCTGTGGGTATAAGAGAAAAAGTTTATAGATTATTGTTAGGGATTGTGCTGGTTTAGTGAATTGGTGGTAGATTCTCCTCTAATAACCATGATAAAGCCTGGGCTTTGTAGTCACTTCAAGGCCAGTCTGATTTACATAGCAAGACTCTGGCTCAAAAATAACACATAACAAAAACTTGTCTCAAAAAAAGAAAACAAAAAGCAAAAAAAAGAAAAAGAAACATAAAAAAGAAATTTTGTCACATTAACATTAATTTCCTATGTTGGCATTTTTTAGTTTTTCTTTTTTTATATGTTAATTACAGTTTATTCACTTTGTATCCCAGCTGTAGCCCCCTCCCTCATCCCCTCCTAACCCCTTCCTCTCTTATCTCCTCCCATGCCTCTCCCCCAATCCACTGATAGGGGAGGTCCTCCTCCACTTCCATCTGACCCTAGCCTATCAGGTCTCATCAGGACTGGTTGCATTGTCTTCTTCTTTGGCCTGGTAAGGCTGCTCAGTATTGGCATTTTTATAATTATTTCTACATAGAAAATACCCTCTCATTATTTGTCTCATACCCTTTTAATATCTTTAGATAACCCTTTAATCACTTTATTTCCATTTGTGTACTGTACTATGCTACATTTATTTCTGAGTGTCATATTTTTACTCCTATTTTGATATTTTTAGAAGAATTTTCTTTCTGTTGTCGATTTTGAGACAAGGTTTCTTCTCTGTGTAGATGCACTTTGTAGACTAGGCTGGCCTTGAACTCAGAGATTTGTCTACCTCTGCCTCCCCCAGTGCAGGGATTAAGGGTGTACACCACACATCTGGCTGAATTTTCATTTCCTGCTGATTTTTACTACTTTGAAGAAAGGTTGTACAGTGATTGATTGATGTATGGTTATTTTATTTTCACTAACTTTACCACAGTTTTAAACTCATAGGTATTGACATTTTTAGATTTTCTGACTCTTAAATTGACTATGTCATCACGTGATCTAGAAGTGATGGTGACTTTCCCTATTTTCTAATATATTATTTTATTTGCTTATCCTATTACATTATTAGCTAATGCAATGAAATAAAAACACGTTAGTCAGCATCTTGTCTTACGTTTGATTTTGATTGAAAATGTCTTCACAATTTTGCCTTTTGATATAGTGTTTGCTGTCAGTTTTCATCAATATTATATTTTATATTCAGTTATTTTTCTTTTGCTTATTGGTAACTTAATTTTAATGAAATGTGAAACTTATTTGAAGTTGCAAATATAATACATTGTTTCTTTGTCTTAACATCCTCAATATGTGTCCCCTTTTAGCATCTTTATTTTTCTTACCTATTTAAATATTGGAAATACTTCCTATCCACTGAGCACTTTCATGTGCGTCTTCCAAGAGCAAAGGCTTTCTTTTTAAATTTATTTATTATTATTTATTTACTATGTGTGGGTGTTGCACATAGGCCATGGTACACGTGTGGAGGTCAGAAGACAACTTTTGGGGGGCACTTCTCTTCTTCCACCATAGGTGGTTCTAGGGACCAGACTTAGGGCATCAGGCTTGGTGGCCACTGCCTTTACCCACTAGTTCATCTTGACAGCCCCACCACTGTGTGACTGGTGAAATGAGAATGTTTAACATTTGCACAGTGCTCTTAATCTGATTTACACTTTTTTCTCATTTTGTTAGTATTACCACTATTGTCCTCTGTGCAGTTACTTTTAGTGTTTCCTTTTCTTTTTCTAAATGCAGCTAATCTAGAAATTTCTTAGGTTTGAATTGCATTGAAGTCCTATAATAAATTAACATTATTCATTTTTGTTATTACAACATTTTACTGGTGTTTTTTTTTTTTTTGTTTTTTTTTTTTTGCTAGTACTATAGTTTTATCTCTCATTTTTAAAAACAAGGCCTCCACCTCCCCCTGAGGGGGGAGCAGCCTTACCAGGCCACAGTAAAGGACAATGCAGCCACTTTTGATGAGAACTGATAGACTAAGATCAGAAAGGAGAGGAGAACCTCCCCTATCAGTGGACTTGGGGAGTGGCATACATGCAGAAGGGGAGGGAGGGTGGGATTGGGAGGGGAGGAGAGAGGGGCTTATGGGGGGGATACAAAATGAATAAAGTGTAATTAATAAAAAATTTAAAAAAAACAAGGCCTCACTTTTTTTTGTATCCTTAAATAAGAGGTAATTTTTGTTTTGTCATTAACATGTTTGATATATGGATATACAACCTTTATTAAATGAATTTAAGAAATGTTTTCTTTTACTTGAATTGTAAAAATTTTCAGTTACTTGAATTGCTTGATGCAGGAATGACCTGATTTCTAAACATTAAATAAAATGAAGTGTGTAGGGAATTCACATATGTCCCAGGGAATAGAGTTTACGGGGGAATTTTATTCATGTAATATAAACACAGAGGGTCTGTACAGACTTGTCGAGAATGAATATGAGTAAAACAATATGACACACAGCTGCCAATGAAGTAAATATGCACAAAGACTTTTTCTAGAGAATGTGCATATTCTAGAGACATTTTCTTGAGCAAATTTGCCTTCTTAGCTGCAGTGTCAGCCTTTGTGGAAGCTGAGGCAGGACAGTCACACGTTCACAGCTTGCCCGGCTGCAGAGTGATGGTTTACAGCAACCTGAGGAACTTAGCAACACTTCTCTTCAACACTTCTGTTTCAAAAATTATTTTTTCAGAGGCTGGATATATAGCTCAGTAGTAGAGCATCTGCCTTGCATGCATGATGTCCTCTAAATGGTTAAAGCACTGTCATTGATGCTGCACTCTTACATTTCCAGCAAGGGGTTTGCTGGGAATCAGTGGCCAGCCAGGCTAGGTGAAAACAGCTCCAGGTTCAGTGAGAGTAAGGCCAAGAGCAATAGGGCAGGCTACAGCGCATGCATACATATGCAATTAAAAAGGAATGTAGCTATGAAAATTGAAGGCAGGGGCTAGAGATGCAGTTCAGTGATTCACAGTTAGTGCTGCTTTTCTAGAGGACCCACATTTGATTCCCAGTGCTTACATCAGACTTCTCACACCTGCCTGTAACTCTAGCTCCAGGAAATCTATGGCCATCCTAGGCCTCATTTGGAGTGACCTCCAAAGGCACTCACACAAGAGGCATAGATTCACACAGACACATATATATAAAAATAAAATAATAAAAATTAAATTTAAAAAATAAAGGCAAATGAGAATATAATTGAGGTTTCGAAAGTGCAGACTATAGATCCTACAGTCTAGGAAGTATTCAGATATATAAAATATTTATTAGAATTTAAGGAAAAATAAATTTGTAGATTAAAAGAGCAAACAACTTGGAACAATTAGTCTAAGAAGTCAGCATTGATATCATTCAGTTTAAGTTTTGGGGTTCAAAAGACAGAATAATTCAAGCGTCAGGACCTCCCCTATCAGTGGACTTGAAAAGAGGCAGGAGGAGATGAGGGAGGGAGGGTGAGATATGGGAGAAAATGAGGGAGCAGGCTACAGCTGGGATACAAAGTAAATAAACTGTAACTAATATTAAAAACAAAAATTTAATTAAAAAAGTCAAGCATCAACAAGACTCAGTGTGAATGAACGCATAACTACTTATTATATTACTTTGTTAAGAGAAAGTTTGAAAACAGTATAAACTTTGTTACAAAAACCAAAAACCCAGCAAGAGCCTTGGGAGTGGAGGGAACAAAACAGCAAGCAAACATTCATATTTGTTTTTGTTTTTTTTTTTTTAATTTTAGGGAGGCACTCCTGTGGGCTTAGCATCTAAACCTTTTCAGATTCTTTATGGACACACTGATGAGATACTGAGTGTGGGCATCAGCACTGAGCTCGACATGGCAGTGTCAGGGTCAAGGGTAAGAGTCCACGTTTAAGAAGTAATACTTTTCTATAAATTGAGTAACAGTGTTTATATTTGAAAAGTCTTCTGTAGAGAAATGGGAGAAATTTTTAATCTTTATTTTCAGTGTTGTTGAAGTAGAGTAATACAGAAGGAATAAACTTGAAAGAGGCTGTGTTACCGTTAGGGATCTTACTGGCCTCACTAGGTGAGGAAGACAGCACTCTATAAGATAAAGTACTACTTGAAGTTTCAAGATTAGCGTTTTTCCTAAAGCATATATGTCCTTGATGGAATACTTATTCCCTCAGTTTCTTACCCATATTTCTTTATCCAGACACTTTGCCCTATCGTTTTTGTTCTTGTTTTGTGTTTCATTCTCCATTATCCCCTATGTGTAGGATGGCACTGTGATTGTACACACAATTCAGAAAGGCCAGTACATGAGAACTTTACGACCGCCTTCTGAGAGCTCCCTGTTTCTGACCATTCCCAGTTTGGCTATATCTTGGGAAGGACACATAGTCGTCTATTCCAGCTTGGAAGAGAAGTCCACCATCAAGGTACACAGCCCTGCTCTGTAGTAGGTGTAGACAGTTAGGAATGTTTCTTTCTTCCCTGCAGGACAGGGGCAGCCTGAGGAAGCAGAGTTTTCTTATGGTTCAGTTGCTCATTTCTCACCATTAGATAACTTCTGTCACAGTCTTGTCACATTTATGTTTTGTTTCAGAGATTTCTGTTATCTCTTTATACATGATCAAATGTAATTTCTTAGAGCTAAGGCTATAACTCAGTTGGAAGACTGCTTGCCTTGCAAGCTTGAGGCCCTAGGTTAAATCTCCAACCCCACAGACAAAGTAATTTTTGCTTATGAGGGATGTCATGAACTTTAAGTAGCAGTGAAAGTCAACCTAAGTTCTTTTGTGGGTAAGACAGTGTAGACATAAACTTGAACTTTATATAGTCATTTCCTTTCAGTAATAAAGAGGAGCATCTTTTTTAGGAATGTGAAATCTTTTTTAGGAGCATCTTTTTTGGACTGGAGAATATTTTAACTCATTTATCTCTTATTTGTTTCTGAAGCAATATGAGTTGAAGGCAGTCTAATATTGTCATACTTTTTCTTTAAATACAACCATCTTTTTATTCTAGATATCTTACTAATTATATTATAGTTTTATCTGACAATATAAAAACTCAGCTTTTATTCAAGATCTTTAAAGTTTCCTAATTCCTCATAGGATAAGAACATGTTACATGCGTTTTCTATAAACGGAAAGTATCTGGGGTCTCAAGTGCTGAATGAGCAGATATCAGACATGTGCATAATTGGAGAGCACATTATCACTGGCAGCTTACAAGGGTTCCTGTCTATAAGAGGGCTCCACAGGTAAGTATTTAAAGTGGTAAAACCATGGGCTACATCTGAGCAGGGGTTCTAGGTTATATCCATGAATGGTCCTTGGTTGGAGTATCACTCTTAAGAAAAAAAACCCTGTGCCCAGTATTTTTTGTTTTTGCTCTCCTTGTGGAGCTCCTGTCCCCTCCCGGTCTTTCATTTCCCCCTTCTTTCATAAGATTCCCTGCACTCTGCCCAAAGTTTGGCTATGAGTCTCAGCATCTGCTTTGATACCCTGCTGGGTAGAGTCTTTCAGAGGCCCTCTGTGGTAGGCTCCTGTCCTGTTACCTGTTTTCTCCCTCTTTCGGCGTCTGTCCTGTTTGCCTTTCTGAGTGAGGATTGATCATCTTACCCAGGGTCGTCCTCCTTGCTTAGCTTCTTTGGTGTACAGATTTTAGTATGATTATCCTATATTATATGTCTAATATCCACTTATAAGTGAGTATATTTGTGTCTTTCTGCTTCTGGGATACCTCACTCAGGATGGTCTTTTCTAGATCCCACCATTTGCCTGCAAATTTCATGATTTCCTCATTTTTAATTGCTGAGTAGTATTCCACTGTGTAAATGTACCACAATTTCAGTATCCATTCATCCACTGAGGGACATATAGGTTGTTTCCAGATTTTGGCTATTACAAATAAAGCTGCTACGAACATTGTTGAGCAAATGTCCTTCTATAGTTGAGCATATTTTTGTGATATGCCTAGGAGTGATATAGCTGGATCTTGAGGTAGTGCTATTACTAGTTGTCTGAGAAGGTGCCAGATTGATTTCCAAAGTGGTTGTACAAGTTTACATTCCTACCAGCAACGGAGGAGGGTTCCCCTTTCTTCACATCCTCTCCAGCATGTGTTGTCACTTGAGTTTTTGATCTTAGCCATTCTGATGGGTGTAAGTGAAATCTCGTTTTGAGTTGCATTTCCTTGATGACTAAGGATGCTGAGCATTTCTTTAAGTGTTTCTCTGCATTTGATATTCCTCTTGTTGAGAATTCTCTGTTTAGCTCTGTACCCCATTTTTTAAATTGGATTACTTGATTTGTTGCTGTTTAACTTCTTGAGTTCTTTACATATTCTGGATATTAGCACTCTGTCAGATAAAGGATTGGTGAAGATCCTTTCCCAGTCTGTAGTCTGTTCTGATAACAGTGTCCTTCGCTTTCCGGAAGCTCTTCAGTTTCATGAGGTCCCATTTATTGATTGTTGATCTTAGAGCCTGTGCTGTTGGTGTTTTGTTCAAGAAGAACTAGATAATTAATTTACCTTACATGTATAAACCTCTATTCATCCATCATGTATGTTTGTAACTTTGTTTGGTTTTTATCTCTTCTAGTTTGAATCTCAACGTCACCCCATTAGCCATGCGATTACCTATCCACTGTGTTTCTGTCACCAAAGAATACAGCCACATTCTTGTCGGCTTAGAAGATGGGAAATTGATTGTAGTGGGTGTTGGCAAGCCAGCCGAGGTAAAGCCCAGCCTCACGGATTCCCCCTTATTATTGTGTGTTTGTTTGCTCCTTCATTCTAGCTGATTCAGTAGTCTTTATTATGGATAAACTGAAGCATAAATTTGACTTTTCAAAAAGAGCCAAAGTATAAGTTGTTAATCAGTAGTGTTTATTTTATGATATAATTGAAAGCATGCTTGTGGATTGGTCTGTGTATCACTGTGTCAATAAGAAAATTATTTTACTCCAGATCATGCTCAAGAGGTCTATGTGAATTTGAGAGGCATAAAAGCCCTTATAAAAAATAAAATATAGTTTACATCAGTAAACTTAACAAATACCAAGCATAACTATATAAAGTCATCATTTTTTTAAAATTTGGACCTACAAATATTCCATATCCGTGAGTTTACTATAATGATAAATTTACTTCCTTAATAGTCTTTTATAGATTTAACACATTTGTTCCTCAGAAAACCTAACAGCTATATTCCAGGTAACTTAGTCGTTGTATGTTTTTTGAGACATTCTTAGCCTTCTCTGAGAAACCTAATATGGCATCACAGGTATTTTTTTGAGAGAAGAAATTGAATGTGGTAGTGCTTTCTTATAATCCCAGTGCTTGGGAGGCAGAGGCAGGAGAATCACCACAATTTAGGGGCTAGACTGACTGGTCTACATAGTAAGTTCTAGGCATGCTAGGGCTATATAGCAAGATTCATTCTAAAAGCATCTACAGAGAAAGGCTGCAAAGATGACTGCAGGTCAGAGCGTTGCTGCTCTTGCAGGATGCAGGGTTCAGTTTGTAGCACTCAAACAAAACCTCACAGCCTTGTAACTCCATTTCTGAGGGAGCCCATACTCCTCTGACCTTCACAGGACACACATGTACAAGCAAAGCACTAATGTACATAAAATAAACCCCCAAAAAGAGAGTTAACACATTTTAAATGTGTTGAATGTTTTCATTCAACATTGAGTTTCTAGGTAGTTTCCTGCATCATGCCCCCCATCCTCTGTGAAATAATTACATAAAACTTCTGCTCACACTTTACTCTTTGAGTACATACTTGTAATCCTTGATGGTTGGGAGCCAAAGATAGAAGAATCACAAGTTGAAGGTCTGCCTATCCTACAGAGTGAGTTCAAGGCCAGGCCAAGAAACTTGTGAGACTGTCTCAAAAATGAAAGTACAAAGATGGCAAAGGATCAACCAGGCGATTACAGGTGGTGCAAGCCTGTAATCCCAGCACTCAGGGAGGCAGAGGCAGGCCGATCTCTGAGTTCAAGATCAGCCTGGTCTACAAAGCGAGTCCAGGACAACCAAGGCTACATAAGAGAAACGCTGTCTCAAAAAACAAAAACAAACAAAAACCATGGCGAAGATAGCTCAGTGCTAGAGTATTTGCCTAACAAAAAGAGGCCTTGAGGACTGGAAAGCTGGCTCAGAGGCTGAGACTACTGTTTACTCTTTCAAAGGTCCTGAGTTCAACTCCAGCAACCACATGGTGGCTCACAACTACCTGTAATGAGATCTGGTACCTCCTTTTGGCATGCAGGCAAAATACTGTATACATAATGAATAAATAAATAAATCTTTAAAAAAAAAATGCGACCTTGAGTTCAATCTCTAGTACTGCAATGAAGAAGTGGCTTTAGTTAATCATCAGGAATCTTTTCAACATGTTAGTGACTTTACTACCAACACCTGTTCTGCCCGTTACAAATCGGTAATTATATATTGATTTTATGTGTCCTTGTTTTCTTTAACATCTATTCTTCATTTCTCTGGATTACCTCAAACAGATGCGATCGGGGCAACTTTCTCGAAAATTGTGGGGATCTAGCAAACGGCTCAGCCAGATTTCAGCTGGAGAAACTGAATATAATACTCAGGATTTCAAGTGATTGTTGCTCACATTCTGTGATGGACAGCTGAGCTATATTCATTGCCTTGTCACTTTAGCTGCATCTCTCCACTCTCTGAAGAGAGGATTACCACAGTCACTGTGGCATTTGCCTGTAACCAATGTTTGAGAGGCTGAGGCAGGTGGCTTTTAAGTTCAAGGCCAGCCTGGGCTATGTAGCAAGGCCTTGTCTCAAATTAAAATAAATAAATAAATAAATAAATAAATAAATAAGGATTAAAATTAAAGTTGTAGGTTTTATTAAGTCCATTTTTAAAGTTTTGTCACAATGAGTCTAGTTTTATTAAGTGCTAAAATTGAATTCAGAAAATATATTTGATTCAATTTAGTAACCTATTCCCAAATCATTAAATCCATTTTTTAAAAAACAAACTTCTAATATAATATATTTAGGTTGAAATCCCCTAATCTAAGTAGCAAATTTTAAGCTATTTCTAATAAAGTAGTATAGATCATGGAGAGTTGAGAGATGTGGCTTTTCATGTGTTCTTTAGATAATCATTTTTCTGTTTACTGACCATTACATTGAAAACAACTTACTCATGAACCTCCTATGTAAAGGTAATAACTTTTAGGCATTTGTGTATAACTGAAGTTTCAGAAGTTGCAGATCTGCATAATTGGATTAAATGCAAATATTGAAATAGTATAGTGGTTCATTTCCTACCCTTACTATTTAAATAATATATCACTAATAAAAAAGTAGTTAATTCCATTATTATCTTTAAGTAACAAAAGTTGAAAAGGAAAAAGAAAAACTAGAGATAAGTTTTACAGATGTACTTCATTAATAGTATATTTAAGCAAAAATGCTAATGTGGCTTTGGCTAGCCAGTCTTTTGAGTAGCATTTGCAGCACAATTTACATCTGTGAAATTCAAAATTTTGTTAATTTCTCTTTGTTAAACAAAAACTGCGTGAATTCTTTATGTATTTGATCATTTTTAGCCTGATGATTATGAGTTGCCCTAAAAGGTCGTGATTGATGGAAAAATACTGCATAATTCACAGTAGTCGTGTGGATGCACAGTGTTGTAAAAATCCTTTTATTGCTCATTATATACAACTGTTACGGGAAAGCTAATTTCTTTAGAGTTTGTTAAATATTACATTATATTTAAAATTTTAAGTAAAAAGGCTGATTGATTAATTTGGAATTCAAAGTGATTGTTATTTGTTTTTGTAAATTACTTTTGAGTTAGGTCAGAGAAGTTTTGCAACTAGCAGTATTGGTAATTTAAGATTCTACCGGCTTTGGGAAGATTTGTGAGTCTCTGAAGTTGTACAGAAATTTACATGTTTAGTCCATTTTCAGGAAAAAACTATCGCATGGTTTTCTTAAAATGATCGATGGGCAACAACAAATGACTTTCCTGTGGTAGCCTTTAAAAATCATATATAAATATTTGTTCTGGTCATTATAGATTTCCTTATGCCTAATTGTCTTTTCAGTTGAATCTTGAAGAACTTTTGATTTTCCATTTTCTCTCTCCTGTTGAGCACAGTAGCCAGTGCCTTTTTCTTTTTAAGTTGATACTTTTTTTTTAAAATTTAAGGTAAAAGATTGTTTAGAGAAATGTTTCAATATTTTGATTTGTTGTGGGTCAGGGTTATCAAAACACTGCAAAATCAGTTTCTATTTAATCTGTTAAAACTGTCTGATTCAGGAAAAAATAGCTGTAGATATTTAGCTGTAGATATTTATTTAGATAAATAACATTAAAATCAGCTGATACAAAAGAAGAATTTGTGTAACTGTAAAGACTTCCTTTTTAAAGACTTCAGGTATTTATTGGAAGTCTCACTAGTAGAGATGATTTTGTTATTTGAAACCTTTCTTCTTTTTGTTTCCCCTCCCCAACTCTCCAGGTGCTACAGCCATGATGGTGTCAAGGCTATCTATTTACCCTAAAAATGATTGGGTTTTTCTCTATTTGGAAAATACTGATCTGGGAATAGGGATATCAGTCCGTAGTAGAAGGCTTGCCTCATTGTTCAAGATCCTGGGTTTACTCCCTAGCATGGGTGAGGGAGATAAATGGAGGGAAAGAGAGACAGACTAACTGACTCTAAATCAAGACTTAGTAAGAGGTGTTTTGGTTTTTGTTTGTTTTGTTTTGGGGTGTTTTGTTTTGTTTTGTTTTGTTTTTTTGGCAGTTTATGTAGTTTTTTTGTAATCATAAATATTTGATTTAGGAATTATTTTATTTACTTAAGAACTACAGAAACTTTGATAATCAGAGGGGTAAAGTCCTTTTGGTGTTTTACTTTTAGTGGGAAACTGAACAAGCAGTTTCTTTTATAACCTAAATTAGCAGCTTTGTTCAGTTTCATCAAAGTCTGACCCTAACTAATACTAGATGTTAAAAGGAGAACTGTTTCTGATACTTGTTATTTTTTTCTAAAAAGTATAAATCATAAATGTGGGATTTGGAAAATACTAACAGTATTCTTAAAAAATGAACTTTTGTATTTATTAAAATAGGCACATAGAGTGGAACTATTTCCTCAGTAACATACTTTTCATATAAGCAGTAGAGCCTTGAAATTAAAAATCACTAGATAATATCACTGGGAAGGTAGACTTTTACAGATTGGAGTGTAGATGTTATCCATAGAAATTTTAATAATGTGTAGTGGAAATTATTAGAATGAATTGATAACTGGATATTAATGAGTATAAAATTTCAACTTGGTTGCTGTGTCAGTTCATTTTTTTTAGAATTTTTCATCTGCTTTTTATTTCTTGATAGTGGTGATCATGAATATAAAAATCTCAGCATCCTGGTAATGAGGTGTACTAAGATAATGTTCTTACTTTTGGAAAGGGAAGTTAGTAGAAGTTGTTGGTGGTAGTTTGTGTGTGTGTTTGTGTGTGTGTGTGTGTACGTACATTTGTATAATTGCTATGTACACTCAGAGAATAGAACAGCCTTATATACCAGTATTCTGTCATTACTTAAGAGTTAATGACATAAGAACATAAAATTAAAGAAGAAAAGAAGGAACAAATCAAAACATGTAAGTAAGGAAACTATGAGAATAAAATTGACATTAAGTCTTTCTATTTCTAGCCAGTGTCGCCTCTGAAGGAAGTTTCTATTAATTTCTTTTAAGTCACTTCGCATCCTTTGTAGGTGAAAAATGTCTGCATATTCATAAGCCTGACTTTTCTTTTTTTCTTGTAGATATGTCAGATTATTTTTCAAAGACCTTAAACTGAGATGTTTCATGCTTCTTTTGTTGTTGTTGCTGCTGCTGCTGGTGTTGCATGCTTCTTAATGAATAAGTATGCCCACAGAATTAGGTCTTGGATTTGAGGATTGACTCTTAATCTTAGCCTCTTTGTATTTCTTTTGAAATAGGCTAAGACAATTAAATTGAGCACCATTTTGTTTTTGTTTTTGTTTAATGATGATAGAGGCAAGGCATTTGCCTGTAAATATAACTTATTTTACTAAAGATATCTCTAAGGAAAGATTTTAGTCAAATTTTGAGAGATTAGTTCCTTTAAAATACTTATGTTTATAAAATGAATAGCATCATCTTTGCCTCCTTTCTGATAAAAACATGTGAGTACTTGGACTATACTGAATATAAGCAAGGTATTAAGTGCCTGATGCCGTGTATCTGGGATGTGAGTGTGTAAAAATGTTAGTGTTTTTGAGTGGTATATACAAAATGAAGTGTATTATTTTTACTTGAAAAATCTGTTGTTTTCATCCAGAGCTATGCCCTGATATAAGTGTTGTGTCTCTAATAGAAAACTATTCTGAGAACTCTTTAACATCTTTGCCTTTGGCAGCAAATATTTATTTCACTACCTTTTCTTAATTTTGTGTGTGTGTCATGTGCTTAGCTTTGATTTGTTTCATAGGCCCATACGGACATCTGAAATTTGTTTTGTTGAATTTTCTCATAGTGATTTCCCTGATGACATTAGACAACAATACAATGTTATTACTCTTGAATGTTATTTACAGTACGGGCCATAGCCATACTTACCTAATTTAAATCTAGCATTTTCTCTGCTAGTAGTTATTCCCAACTCTAGCCAGTGCCTTTATTATCTTTGATTCACATGGACAGAACCACTGTGTTTCCTTTTCATTATTGAAAAGTTCATTTATCTTATCTTTAGACTTCTTGTATTTGGAAATCATAATTAATATTTACTTCTAACAAAAGTATGTCTGTTTGCTAATATAAGTTCCTAATAAGTATCAGTCAGTATTTTCCACACTTACAAAGTTTAAATTTTTTTCCAGTATTTGGTATTGAATTTAGGGCCTCATGCATGTTACACAAGAATAAAAAGCATTAGTAAGCAGCACCAAAAGAAAAACCGAATCGGGATATTATAGCATTGGAGTTATAATGAATAGGGTTCTCCCATTATAAAAGCATTGGTAATTTTCCTACATATTTCTGGTGATGTCTGATGATGTATGCCTCTGTATGGAAAGTCTTTGATTTTTCATGGGTTTTAGAGCCTGAGAGTTTTAGGCTGTGTTAGGAATGTATTTCAGTGATGGTACACTTACATGTAAGCCCTAGGTTTGGGATTTGGGTGGCATTTTCCCCCAAACACTGGGGACAGAGTATAGGCCTCACACACAGGAGGGGTTCTACCACTGAACTCTACATCCTCAGTTTAGAGAATGGTTCTTAATTTGAGATCCAATTAGTCTGTAGGAATTAATAAATGTACTATACCTAGGTACTAGTTGGGACTTTTAGTGATTTAATCAGTCACAGTTCTCAAAAATTATAAATATATATGTACATATAAAATACATGTAAACGAACATGTGCTTAAGTTGTAGAGTTATATTTTTATTTGTTGAAAACCATATGACCATCTTAGAATATATAATTTATATCTCTTCCTTGCCTGCCTTTTTGCTACCATGAATTATAGACTATAACAATTATGTAGTTTATTTATTACAGAAACCTTATATAAAAAGGGCCACATTATGAACTTCGGGTGTTTTGTCTTTTTTTTTGGCAATCATATTTATTCATTTATTCATCAGATGTGTTTTCTTAGTATCTTTATTGATACTCACCATACAGGAATGGTTTCTAAACACACTACAAGATTTGGACACATAAAGATAATTCTTTTAGTGTTAAATGAAAAGATAAAAATTCAGTGGCATATACTTTTCCCTATGAAGAAAGAAAGATTAAAGTCACTGACTCAGTATTTTTTCTCTTTTCTGTGACACAGTTTTCATGTTACCTTGAATATGCATACATGTGCATATATTAGCATAACAGTAGCTAAATTTCATCATTTAAAAAATTAGACAACTGGTACATTCACTTGTTTCCTCTTGGGAGACTGAGATGGAAGGATCACTTGGACCCAGAAGTTCAGGAACAGCCTGGACAGTAGTCAAGCTCCATCTCAAAGATAAGTAAGTCATTTTAATTAATGTTTCAAAGCAGACAAGTGTTGCTGCTGTGTGTTTCCGTTTATAATGGCTTTCTAGTAATTTACGTTCTTCATAACTATTTTTGAATAGTTAACAGTGTTTCACTGCTGTACAATGCTATTGTAAAGGTAGCAATGTAACATGAGACTAAGCAGTTCAGATTTAGGTGAGATTGAATAGTTTTACTGATTAAAGTACAAACTGTTTTTGAAAGAAGTCTTATTCCAGTTAAGATTTTATTTAAGTAATATATTTCTATTTACCTTATATTAAAGTGACATGCTCTCTGATAGTGTAGTCCAGTTGAGAATTAGGCCTTAATGTTCCTTTTTATTTTTTCTTGTTTTTGTTTTTGAGACATATTCTCACCCTGTAGACTTGACTGCCTGGAACTACCTGTGTAAACTAGGCTGGTCTCCAACTCAGAAGTCTATCTGCCTCTGTCTCCCAAGTGCTGAGATTTTTAAGAATATACATAATTATTTTGTTCTTCAGAAGTAATTCTGGCAGGAAGATATCAGTAGTTAAATTTAACTGAAAGTAGTCTAAATTCTTACTAGAGAATTTAAATTCTTACTAGAGAATTGGAACTAGAGAAACTTTTTTTGAAGTTTGAATTTTCTGTTAGATAATCCCTAGTGACTTACGTAGTTCCTATACTCCTTCCAAAATTATGGTGTGTTACAGTGGCTCTTACTGCTGAAGATCTTTTATATTTTGAACAGTTTTTTTCTGTTCTGCCTTTTCCTTCCAAAGATTGTGCCTGATAGACACCATCACAAACGTGTTACCTGCAGCTAATGCTACTTACAGTCAGCTCCACATTGGACAGCTTGTGAGGAAGCGAGGTGGCTCTTTGCCAAATTCTCCTGCAGGATGAACTTCCCTTTCCTCATCAGTTTGCTTTTTGTACATGTGGAGGAAAAAATATAGCCAAAAGTGATGAGATTTCTGGATAGCCATTTTCTATCAAATTCATTGCTAAATCAAGACAGAAAATTAACAAGCATTTGATTAATTTGACCATTTTTCTGGGACTCACATTAATTAGCACTTTAGTTTTAGCAGGGTGATGGTCTCTTGAACACATGAATATACACCTAAGGTCAGAACTTTGGTTAGCTGAAAATTTAAAATGGCTTATTCATAAAGCAGCTGAGTGTGGTGTCACACCTGTAATCCCAACACTCACAGCCTATTGCAGGAGATTGTCTCAAGTTTTTAGGCTACCTGGACTACAGAATGAAGTCTGTTTATCTGTGTGTCTCTGTTTCTCTCTCTGTCTCTCTCTCTCCTTCCCTCCCTCTTCCCCTCAACAACTTAGAAATTGTGCTGCTAGTTACTATTTAAGGAGTTGTGTGTTTATCTTAAAATATCCTCTTTCATTTGTTCCACTGGAATTGATTGAAAAAAAAAAGTAATAACCCTTTTTATGTTGAATTATTGACTGTGCAAACTGTGATTCATTGAGTATTTATATGCAAAAAGGGGGGCTCAAAGTTGAGCAAGTTTTAGACCTTAAGGTTGTAAATAACTAATTAGCATTCTGGTAACAAAATTACTGTTTGGTGCAATTGATTCTTTCTGTTTTCATTCTTCTGAACTTAAGTATACGAGATGTATTTTGTTTTGTCACAAAAATATTTTTAAGAACTTCACTGAATGTATATGGGTTAATGTTTGATTGTTTCTGTATAGTATGATCAAAAATAGTTGAAAATTTTGCACTTTGTTAGTCCCTTGGAAATTTATATTCTAATATTTTTTAAAATGTACATTTATTTTGTTCATAATAAATTAGCTTTGTATATGACAATGGGTTTGAATCAAATAAAAAGATAACATTAATTTCATTATTTGGTTTGTAGTTCTGTTTATTTTGATTGACTAAAATTTGCTCTGCCTAAATTCTTTGAGTAGACAAAGAATTGAATGCAGTTTTTAGTAAATAGAAAACCAAACATCATTTGTTTCTCAGATGAGAATCTCCCATGACCTGTATAAGGTGAGTATTAACATTATTTCATCAGGCTCATTCATAAAGAGACTTTAATTTTAAATCATCTCAAAAACATTGTTCCAGTTTTTTTCTCAATAAGTGATCATCTTCAATTTTCATGTCTTGTTAACTAGGTAATACATTCAGTTTTTTAAATTTTGTTTTTATAATCAAAATATTTTATGCATAAGCTTTTAAATTTTCATCCATCTAACAGCGTAGTCCCAGGCTTTAAGCCTGGTCAACAGGTTTCCCCCTGTTGAGCTGCACCCCTGGCCTGTGCGCATCAGTTCTGTGCCTGCCAACTGGTTCTTGCTGCTTAAGGTCCTGTGACAAAACATCTTGCTGGTGTTTTGTCTCTGGATCCAGACCCACTATAAAAATGGACAGTAACTTCACTACTGTGAGCTACTCACAATACTTCATTTTATGGAAGGATCTTCATTAGAATTAGAAATTTTCTGCACTAAATTCATTAAGATTTCTAGATCAATTGGCAGTTAAAGCTAGGTCAGCAACAGGACTAGTTAAAAATCATGTCAGGCTTCAGATAAATGTTTCTCAAATGATAATAAAGTTTGTGTTTTCTTGTCATTTAATATCACTTCATGCAACTGATGAGACTCTTAAATCTTTTGAATTTTGGTACAGTAATGCAGATCTGTAAGCCACTTGAGAGTCTAAGGTGGGAAGATCAAAAGTTCAAGGCCTGTGTGGGCTACAGAGAGCGTTCCAGGAAAATTGGGACAACATAATACCATGTCTCCAAAATGAAAGTCTGATACAGACTTTCTAATGAAAGTCTGTATCAGACTTTCATTAGAAAGGGGCTGGGAACATAGTTTGTTGTCAAGCACTTGGCTGTTTGTGTGAGCACATCTCTGGTACCACGGAAGGAAAGCCTTTCGAGTTCCTAGATTTTATTCATGTACTTGGATCATTTTGACAAATAGCCTGTAAAACTTTACCTAATGGTTATTTAGTGTAGTTTTCAAAGATATGTTTAATTATAACTGCAGGCACTATTGTCAGGAACGTCTATAGAGAATCTATTAATTTCACCTTCTAGTAATAGAGATTTTTTTAAATTAAGAAATCTTATTCAACCCACTTATATTTAATAAATAAAATTTGAACTTAAAAAGATACAGGAGGAATTTAGGGATACCAAAAGTTTTACAGTTATACAGCAACATTTTTATACATACAGTATATATATTTATATATTTTAAACGGATGGTACCATCCTTAAACTAGGGTAAGATAAGCCCATACCCTGGGTCTCATGCTTGAGGTATGCCCAGATATCCCAAATCAGAAGAAATCACTTACTAAAGACAGCAGGCCTCTGTCATTCAATGCTTTGTAGTCAGGGTTTCTATACCAAGATTAACTTCTATTTTCTTAACTATTAATCGTCATGGTCCAGGTAAATAGTTCTCCATGTTTCATGTTCTGTATATTTGACATAAAATGTGGCTTCACTTAAATGTCATAAAGGCTTGTATATCATATTCTGCTAAGGTTGGGAGAGGATTTGAGTAAATAGTTTTGCAAAATCTTTGCTAGCAGGACAAATATAACAACTTATTGAGATATTACTTCCAGGTAGAGTTAAGCTTTCATTTTTCTTCTCAAAGTTAGAGTTGGTGAACTGAATACTCAAGAATTAGTGTGGGCATACTGATAATCCCAGCACTTGGGAGGCAAAGGCAGGTAAACCAGCATAGTCTACATAGCAAGTTCCGGAACAGCCATAGCTGCTTAATAAGAAAGACCCTGTCTCAGACACACCATGCACACAAATAAACAAGAGAATTAGTTCGGTAATGACTGTTAGAAGTAGAGACTTAGGAACTCTTTAAAACATTGAATGACTCAAAGGAAGTGGTAAGTGGAGACATAATATGTAATGTGGCACTGATTGTTTATGTGACTATATGGATTTAGACACTTCTTGATGAGCTAATAACTCAGGCTTGGTGGCACTGAAATCCAAGTTCCTGAGAGGCTGAGACCAGGGGATTGTGAGGCCCTTCTAAGGAGAGTCTAAGGATTCAAGGCCAGCATGAGCAGAGTAAAGACACCATCTCAAAATGGAAAGCTGCCTGAGCTAGAATCCATTGTTGAAAGGGCTTGTGTAACATACACAGGGGCCTGGGTGTGAGCCCAGTATTGGAGACGGAAAGAAATGGTGCAGAAATAAATGAAAGGGCTGTCTTCAGTAACACTTAACCTTCAAAAACACGATAGTCCTTAATCGACAGAGCCGTGGGAAAGAATGTACAAAGAACTCTATGCCCTCACAGCGTGGGTAGCTGTTAGTGCATATTGAACCCGGGCTTCAGCTCAGAGTCAGTTTTAGGTGCTGAAGCTAATAAATGATTCCACAAATGCTGACTGAGACCTTCTAAGTTTAGCTTTTTACCAGCATTCATGTTTTTGTTTCCTTAAAAATATATCATTATGAGCTGGAGAGATGGGTCAGATATTAAGAGCACTGTCTGCTCTTCTAGCACCCACAGGGCAGCTCACAACTGTCTGCACCGCCAATTCCAAGGCATCTATCACCCTCACACTAACACACATATACATATATACATATATATGAGTCTATTTTATAATAGACTCAGTTTTCATGCATGCTTCCCAGTTTCCCTCTGTCACACTTTAGCAAGGCCCCACTGTTGCTGAGTTGTGTAAACCACTTCTGTGTAGGTCCAGGCTTTGTGGTAGTACTTAAAGAGTAATATAAACAAATGTCTTCACTTTTTATTGTAGTTGTCTGCTGCCAATAGAACAAAGCTGTTGTTGCCCTTTTACCCTAGGATGCCACTGTTACTGAGGTATTTCCTCTAAATGGAATTGACCACTCTCCCCATTGTGAATTTAATCCTCTTTATTGGTCTTCAGCTAAAGAATGAGACTTGAGTACAATAGTATCTCTTCTGATATAATTGACCCAAGTGATGTTTCAGAAGGACATTTTTGTTTTTCCCTTGGAAGAGATTCAGAGGGTCTTGAGTGTTAGGTTTGTTTTACTTTGTGTTTTCACTTTTCTTCTCTGATAGAATACATGAGAAAATAATGTAGATTGGAAGGATTGTTTTGGCTCATGTTTCAGAGCTTTCAGGCAGTGCTCATTTGACTGCACTCTGTGGGCCCTTACATGGTGAGATAGAGTGTGGCAGGCAGTGTGTGTTAGAGCAAAGCTGGTCCTCTGGTGGTGGCCAGGAAGTGGCGACAAGGAAAGATAACACACCTTCAAAGGCTCATCCCCCAGTGAACCACCTTTAACTAGGACATACCTTCCACAGTTTCCCCTTCTCCCACTGGCCCATTCATTGACAAGTCAATCAATGCACTAATGCTATGATTAGAGTCCTCACGAATCAATGTTTTTTCAATAAGCTGGCAACCAAGCCTTGATATGGGTGTTGTAGACATTTCTATCCAAGCCCTAACACTGACCTTAGAGTTATATTCCTTTTCAAATAGTGTCCTTGTAAGTTGGAGCTAGGCAGAGGGTTGTAATTTTTTCTTTTAAGGATTTGTGTATTTTTGTGTGTGTGTGTGTGTGTGTGTGTGTGTGCGCGCGCGCGCGCACGCACTCATGAGCAAGCTCATGGAGTCCAGAAGAGTATTACACTTCTCAGAGCTTTGATCATAGACCGTTGTGAATCCCAAAGGATTGCAACTTATGAGATCAGCTTAAACTACATAGCAAAACCTTGTCTCATACACCCACAATGCAAAAAGGAGTGTCATAAGTTGGAGTAAGACATTAAGAGGTGGTGTGTTTCAGTGGCATTGTGACTACCTGTATGATTAGATTTTGTGGTCTGATACTCAGTCATACATACAGCCACACAAGTTAAAGGATTTGAGAACACCAGAGAAGCCTGGCTCTTCTCCAATGCTTTATATTGGGAGTTCAAGACCTAAAACTTAAGGTTACCTTTTTGTTGTTTTATTTTTATTTTTGGTTTTTGAGAGAGGGTTTATCTATATAGTTCTGTCTGGCTGTCCTGGAACTCACTCTATAGATCAGGCCGGCCTCCTGAGAGTTAGGTGTGTGCCACCAACACCCCGTTTAAGGTTACTTTTTGAGATTTTTAATTCATGTGTCTGAATGTTTGCCTGAGTATGTCTGTGTACCAAATGCATGCAGTAGCTGTGGCGGTCAGGAGAGGGTATTGGGTCCTGTGGGGCTAGAGGACAGGTGGTTGTGAACTGTATGTGGGCACTGGAAGTTAAACCCATGTCTTCTGGAAGAGCAACCAGTGCCCTTAACATTCATTGAGCTTTCTCGCCAACCCCTTTCCTAAGTTTCTTAATGCAATCAGAAATGTCTACCTTCCCCACAATCTTTTATGATGTCATTGACAGTACCTAACCACCAGCAATATGCCAGTGATGGTGATGGTTTGAATAATCTACATGATATAGGCTAAGGGAAGGATATCCTCAGGCGGTCATTAAATGTATTTTTAACCTGTAATTCTCTTTTGACAAAATGAATTTGGGAGCCTCCCCTTGAGTAATCCAGAGCCCATTAATGTTGAGTCTACATGGTTCAAAAGGCTAATGATGAAATTATAGACAGAGATGTGAATGGTTAAGGGAGTGAGGGATGGTGAAATGCACAGAGTGGTAGCAGGGCAAGCCATTGTCCTTCCTGAAGGCCAAGGAGAAGAGTGTTACTGTTGTTAGAGGGTCAGAAGGTCATAGCAGAAGCCCGCCCTGTACCTCAGAAGTTGCTGCTGTAGTGAGATCCAGCAAATACTGCACAGAGTTGAAGCAGAGGGGCACGTTCACTTTCTCTCTTGACTCCAGCTTTCTTAAAAAAAAGAA